CAGCCTGCGACCCTTGGGGAAAGGAATTCGGCAAAGGCTATCATCCAGAACGGGCAGCACGGGCAGGCCAATTGTTGGCAGGTGGCTGGCGTGGTGCGTTTGCTGGTCTACAAGGAGACCAGGAATTCATGCATCGTTTGTTAAAGTTCAAGCGCAGCCTGGCCTATATTTTATGATCAGGACGCGTACTTCGATCGATCTGGTAGATCGATCGAGATTATATATATATATTTTTTTTTTATAATATTATCCATCGATCGAGTCCTAGGCAGCTGGCATTCCAAACGGCCGCTCTGCTGCCAGTTCTGCAAGGCTGGGCTGGTTCATTTGTGTCAATGACATACCGACTTACCGGGACATGATCTGCGCAGGCAACCCAATTGCCGACGGACGACGGCGACGAAATGTTGTACACAAACTTCGGCAAGCAGGCCTTGCATCGCTCAACGTGCCGGGCTTGATATGGAGCATCTATAGAGTCATCCAAGTATACGGATTTTATATATGTATATATATATATATATATTTTTTTTGCCGTGCATGCTGCAAGGATCATCACCACGAAGCGCGAATGGATCCGTGTTCACGGAGAAACAACTTTGACCAGAATCCCATGCTTCTGCCCTACTAGCTACCAGCCACATATTAGAGTGTTACAGCCAATATTGCATATGTACACATATATATATATATATATATATATCTACCCATCTGCCTGCAAGGAGTCTTTCCGGATCTCCTCCACATCCTCGATCTCCAGATCGCCCCTGACTGCATCACCAGTGCTTTGCTGGATTGGTCTGATGGGAGTGGACGCAGGGACAATGCATTGAAATCTCTTCGCGAATCCTACAATTCCTGGTGCGTCGCAGAAAGATTCATGGCATGCATGGCAGGTTTTAATTTGTTTGCATACTATGCCATGTCCAAAAGGGTAACTTGTATATAAGGAGTGACGGAAAGAGCGAACTGGAAGATGTTCACGTCCAAAATTCTTTTGGTCACTGGGCAATTCCCGAGCGTGAGCCAGAAAATGTTGAAGGGTGCCACAGCCCGTACAATGATCTTCTGGTGCCTCCTGGTCGCTCGGCAGCAAATGGAAGCAGGGCCCGAGGATATTCTGGCGCGGCAACGTCATGCACTCTTCAGTGCACTGGCCACGATGCAGACTATCTTTGCCGAAAATGGGCCGCTGAGCATGCATATATATATATATATATATATATTATATTTTTTGGAAACCTCTATTTTGCGCCTGCAGGCGCTACTTCAATGCCCCCTCGGACGACGACCATCCCGAGGTGGTGGCGTACGAAGCGTACATGATATACCGACATAGCTACGACTCCCTCACGGAGCACGCCTTCAGCAAAGGTAATCTTCGCTACCCGGTCAGACCGAAAATGCATCAGTACGAGCATCTGCACCTTGCCTGCAGGCCGCTGTATATTATAAATATATATATATATAATATATATATATATATATATACATATACGCTTCAATCGTTCGATCAAAGGATATGTGACTGGCTCCCCTATGCCGGAAATCCTCGGTACTACAGCTGCTATTTGGACGAGGACATGATGTTCAGAATGAAGCAGCTCTGCATGCAATATAGTTGTGAACGCGGCCCTTATAATTCTACTGCGACATGCATGTATTGCAAAGCATCGCGACATGCGCGCGCCCTGTGTGGATCTATATGGTATTTCCCATATATTCCAAGCACATTAGAAGCTTGCACGTCTGCGCGCCGCGCGCGCGCCATGCGCGCGCCATGCGCGCGCCGTGTGTGGATCTATATGGTATTTCCCATATATTCCAAGCACATTAGAAGCTTGCACGTCTGCGCGCCGCGCGCGCGCCATGCGCGCGCCATGCGCGCGCCCTGTGTGGATCTATATGGTATTTCCCATATATTCCAAGCACATTAGAAGCTTGCACGTCTGCGCGCCGCGCGCGCGCCATGCGCGCGCCATGCGCGCGCCGTGTGTGGATCTAGATGGTATTTCCCATATATTCCAAGCACATTAGAAGCTTGCACGTCTGCGCGCCGCGCGCGCGCCATGCGCGCGCCGTGCGCGCGCCGTGTGTGGATCTATATGGTATTTCCCATATATTCCAAGCACATTACAAGCTACCACGTCTGCGCGCCGCGCGCGCGCCGTGCGCGCGCCGTGCGCGCGCCGTGTGTGGATCTATCTGGTATTTCGCATATATTCCAAGCACATTCGAAGCTTGCACGTCTGCACGCCGTGTATATATATATATATATATATATATATATATATATTCCAAGCATTGCGGGCACTGGCATGTTGCGTGTTATTACTGCAACGGATCCGGCCTGGAATATTCAGCATGCTGGCTCGAGCTAGGTCGTAGATCGGCCAAGCAAGATATGGCAAAGGCCAAGAAAGCCATGAAGGCTGCCAAAGCCATGAAGGCTATGAAGGCCATGAAGTCCGGAAAGCCAACGAAAGTCATGAAGGCAAGAAAAAAAAAGCAGAGCAAGCCTGGCAACCGGTCCGGTCCTTCTGGCTGGACAAAGTGGAATGCCAAGCTGGGCAAAACCACGAAGACCGAGATCTTTCGACTTGAGCACAGCGACACCGATGAGCTCGAGATCTCGAACTGCAAAGCCACCCAGACGCCCCCCTGGGTACGTCGGCTGCGGAGAGCAAGAGACTTAGAGGACTCGATTCCAGATTGATCGAAGCATGCAGTTCTCAAGTCTGGGATCATTCACCTGGCTGCATCCAGGACATGCAGCTGACTGGGTATGATTCTCTGGAGGCCGAATGTACCACGGCTGTGATTATAGTTGGTGTGAAATCTGCAGTTCTGATAAGGGCGCATCGGGTCTACATTCATTGGATTCCTGAGGCCGCAGAGTTGAAGGCCTTGGTACGAACGAAGCCATCGACTACGGTGACAAGCTGATCTATAGGCCAAGTGCCAAAGCCATAAACTATTAAGTGCAGCAGCTAGCGGAGCATGCACACTGATCACTATATGTCTTATACGTACACACACACATGTACATATTATACATAATATTTTATACTTCTCAGCTGAATGTACCGCTCAGCTGCGGCATCTCCCTCAATGCTGGGGCCACCCATCTTAACGCCAAGTCTGTGCGTGGAAAAGTGTGCTCATGATTGCAAGGGTTGCTCGCAAGGGTTGCTCGCACTGATCCCTGCAAGCTGCTCGCGCCTAGATCTCACAGACCAGCCAAGGAAGATCATCTTGCACACGCATCCTCGATCGACCTCGGTGGTTGCGATCCAGCACTATAGCCTTCTTGCGGCGCTCCGATGGACGAACGGGCTCCAGGAAGAAAATGAGTGCCCGGCAGTTCCGCATGCAATGTGTTGCTCGTGCATGTTATGTCTATATATATATATATGTGTATTTAATATGCTATATATATATATATATATATTATATATATATATACATATATATATATATATATATATATATATTTGTATTGATATTTATATTAATATTATATTATATTATATTATATTATATTATATTATATTATATTATATTATATTATATTATATATATATTATATTATATTATATTATATTATATTATATTATATTATATTATATTATATTATATTATATTATATTATATTATATTATATTATATTGTGTATAGGGGTTCCGGGTGTATGGGACCAGGGTATATATATATATATATATATATATACATGCATGTAATAAACATACATACCGTGCAGCTATTTTCCAGGTGGGTGCTGTTTTGCTATAATGGTCTCCGTACAATACCAATTTCGTATAAATAAATAAATAAATATGTGTATGCAGGAAATATACGGCGTGTTATACAAATGTTGGACTAGAAATTTTGTCAACACGCCAAACAAAAAAACATTCTACAACTAAGAACGTACGCATTTCTGCAGGCTTTAATTGCGTGTTCTGAATGCATTTACTGTGGTCTCTATGCAAACAAACATATTTTCCGGGTGGCTGCCGTCGCACTTTTGCTGCTCCGATACTTTAAATTGAATAGGCACGCGGCAAAACAACCATTCAAAAACTATATATGCTTGTAAACGCTTTTCTGCAGACTTTCTTAGGGGTTCTCAATATATCTCCTGTGGTTTCTGTCAGCAAACAAACATGCTTCAACATGCTTCGCAAGTTTTGCGCCATCCATATTGACATGTTTTTCAGTTTGTCGTCATCGAGGTGGGTTCCAAATCGCAACCCCGAAAGGTCCTATAAGTCCGGTTGTCCCTGGGGACGTCCTATAAGTCCGGTTGGCCCCTCCTGGAGAACATTTGCAAATGTTGTTTTTCTGGGGCCATGAACCTCAAATAGGAGGCGAGACTGACTTTGTCGTGAGAACACGGCCTGTACTGCGGGCATCATAGTGGCAAGCTTTTCATGCGCGAACCGCTTCTTCATCGTGCTGAGAATCGCGCACATCCCACCAAACGCCCAGCAAGTTTGGCACCAATTCTACGTAATTGATTTGAATCGTGCGCACTGACTGAATCTAGCGCTTTGTCTTTTACTTCTATTTTCGGTCTGATCTGATCTACGCTAAGATACTCTAACCCAGTCTGATCCACGTTCATGTTAGTGTTTGCATATACATACATAGACCCATACATGCACACGAGCTCAGATTCCTATGCATGTAAGTGTGTATTCGCGCATGTGTGTCTGTATTTTGATTTAGCTGTTTCTTCATGTGTTTACGTACTGTATTTGTACATACACATCACACACATATGTCATGTGGGTATATGTATATATACGTTATATATCTACACATCATATTCATATCTATTATAAGCTCATTCATGTTCCATAGTAGTACTCAAGGCACAGTGCCTCCAATGCGGAGCTTGTTCCATCCAAAACCAAAGTGCAAGAGGACTACAAGTGTAGGAGTCTATTCTGGAGATTTCGGGGTGGTCAGAAGCAGGGCGCAGGCCAAAACTTGCCATGGCATTGCGACAGCTTCTTCCCCCTGTGTGCCTCGCCATCATAGCAAGCTGCCGGTTTCAGCTGGAGAATCAACTCAGTCCCTGGTGCGTTGGTGTGAGCTTGGAATCCAGGAGGCGGGCCAACCAGGTCATTGCTAAACGCTGCGATGCTAGTGATGACTCGCAGCTTTGGGAGTGGAAGGATGGGGCACAGCTCTGGAATCTAGCGACCGACAAATGTTTGGCCATTCAGTCAGGCGGTGATGGTTGGGCCTACGTCGAGACATGCCGGAACCCGTTTCTGTACGACGAGCATAATTGGGCTAATACGAGCTATCAGGCTTTGTTGAGCGCAAGAACCGGCCAGTGCTTGGATATTCAAGGGGACCCTCCCAATGTGGAGGGAGCTCATCTAGGCGACTGGCCCTGTGAGACGCGACCCGGGAACACGGATCATCGATGGAGACAGGTGCCTAAAGACTATTTCTGCGAAGATTTCGGAGATGACGTGTGCATGGCAGCCTTGGGTGAAGGCTACTTCACTCGTCGCGACAGATCCAGCTCCTGCCGACGGCGGCAGTGCACTACATCCGCTTGTTGTGAGTTGCACACCTGTTACGCCGCAGCCTGCGAGAACATGGGCCAACTGAAGGCGCATCGTCGTCGTCGTGTTTCATGTGCGGAATACACCTGCTCCGTGCAGGGATGCTGTGATCGCACCTGCATGCACCATCAGTCCTGTCCCAACGGTACTGCTGTTCACGATCCGAATATGACCTGCGGGTTGAATGAAGAGGGTGTCGACGACATCGGAAACTGCACGGAGCAGTGCTGCACAAACTACACCACCACCCTCACTAGCACTACCCAAACCTTCACGACCCGGACCTTGACCAGCACTACTGGCTGTATCGAGCATGCGGACTGCCGTGGACGAGCTGCTTCCGTCGGGGGGGCCACAGTAGCCGCAAGCTTCTGTGACACAAGTGCTCTTCCAGGACAATGTGTACCCAACCCAGCCACTTTTTTCATGAGCAGTCTCGCTTCATGGCATCTGGCTGCACAGCTGAATACTCTCCAAGGTGCCGCCAGCGCCACAATTCAGTACACGTACGAAGCATCAATGAGGAGGGAATCTGGGGAGGAGGTGTCACGGGAAGATGCTCAGGGTGTGGAGGAAGCGACCGAAACGTCGCTCAGTTTTGTCCTCTCGACGACGGTGCACAAGGAGGCCAAAAACTGTTTGGAGAGGCTGGAGCAAGTCGTCCGGAAGGACTGCGGCCAGGAAGCGGAGCCAGGTTTCGGTCAAGCTCTTCGCGAAGGCATTTCGGCTGTAGGGGGCGTTGCCGCCGTGGCTGCCGGGGCTTTCCCTGTGGCTTCAACAGTTGTTCAAGCAATCTCGGCAGTTGCGGGACCCATTCTCGGTTTGTTCGGTATTAAAGAGGAGGAGTGTAACCCAGTCACCCTTGCCGAGAAGACCACCAGGTGCGTCACAGACGGTACCTCAGAGACACGCTCGACAGAGGAGCAGGAGGCATATACCCGAGCAAAGCGTTCCACCACCACGGACGTGAAGCGCCTGGCGGAGAATGTCGGGAGGGGTGAGACGATCAGCTGTGCGGTCACAGCTCCCCAAGGCGTTACGCTTTGGCAGCTGTACCTCCACACTCCGGCAGCCGACATGGTCAATTCCGTGAACTCGCGGCTCTGCATTTTCTGCATGACGTGGGGAGATGTGCCGAAGGATCCCCCTGGTGTTGCACACTGCGGCTCCGGGCAAGAGCAAATCTTTCCAGGGAGCTCCACTGCAAGCCCCTCGCAAGCCCAAAGACCAGGCCAGGTTGCAGTGAACGGAAGCAGACGGTACCGTGGCAGCAACGCATTGGCTCTGAGCTCATGGCTCTTCCTGCAGCTTTGGCTGTAGAGCTTCAGCTCCGAAAGACTCTGCTTGAGTTGGGGTTTCGGCATGTTCGTAAGAAGGTGGTATTCGTGGGGCATGATAGGGCTGAGCGGTTACAGCTGGGTAGATGCAGATTTCCAGTCCGCGATTCTACAGCTGTGCACTTGCTTATTCAATGCGGGAGTCATTGTGCTCCAGCAGAAAATATGGAGGCTGCGAGGGTCCTCCTTCATCGCACGCAGCCGGGCTCTGTGAAACAGGGTCCGGACGCAGGCCCCCACGGGCCAGAGCATGATTGAGGGACGGATCCAAAGCCTAATACCGCAAGCTCTTAACCCTAAACCCTGAACCCCACTTAGCTCTTACCCTCAAGATTTCAACTTCGACACCCTCAAAGAGGCTTGTTGTCAGCGTCCTAGCTCGCTCCCATCTTGGAGAGCAGACGATCTCTCGGAGATTCGTGGCCCTCTGTCGTAGTATAAGGCATCTACTATTGTGTGTTCGTGCTTGCGCAGTCCTCAGATGCAGCAACTCCGTTCAGTGTTTGTTGCCAACAATCGCGGGAGACGGTGTACAAGCTCGCCGAAGAAGCTGTGGCGAAGCTTGAAGTTCGAGTGGGCCCTGGCTCGCCTGGAAAAGTTCTCCTAAGGAGGCTTCTCCGTGCATTTGCACCTCTTAGTAGTGGCCTCTGAGTACTTAAAGGATCATGGGACGGAGCAGTAACTAGGGTTTTCTTTAGGGTAACTATACTTATAACCCCGATTAGGGGCACTTATAGCCTTACTTGCTAAGTCCCACGATCCTCCAAGTAGCCGCAAGGTATAGGGCGAGTGTTTGACTCGAAGCCTCATGCTTGGAATCGGCAGGGCCACATGGACCAATCCCCGTCCGCAGTCTGAAAACGGAGATGTACCGTTTCTGAGGGTTTAGGGAGAAGGGTTTAGGGTTTAGGGGTTTATGCTGAGAAAGGGGTTTAGGGTTTAGGGGTTTGCTTCAGAGCGTGGACTTGCTGGCGGACACGTAGGGCCACAAAAAGGGGTTTAGGCTTTAGGGCTGCAGTGATGCAAGCTACTTTACTTCGTAACAGCCAAGGGGAAGTCATTGTAGATCTGGTAATATAGGAATCTGATTACTGTAAGGATTTTTGGGTCTTTATTAAGGTTCTTGCATGTTCTTTAGCAATTCTTGGCAGTACAAGTTAATGTATATGGTCCAGTCTAGCACAACGACGGTGCACCCAGCCCTTCATCTCTGCAGATTTACAAAACGGTCTTCGACCACCGTGAACTCTGAGCCATAGTCGCGAGAACCTTGCCTCTTATGCCAGGGAAGCTTGCAGCAAACCCTGAACCTTGAACCCTAGACGCTATGATACTACAAACATAGTTGGACATGGGTGCAGGTGCGTCATGACAGAGCACGCGTGTTCGTTCATGTCGCGGTTCAAGACTGCATGGAGCCCTTCGCCAAAACAGCCAAAACTAAAGCCTCAAGCTTGAAAGCCTTGTAAGCCCTCTGCACCTGTGAGCCGACAGTCTGCTAAGGTCTCGGAAGACTCGATCCCTGCTCCCTGACCTGGTCCAGGAGGGCGCTGAGCGCAGTGGTGGCTTGGAGGTAAAATCCGAAAGTACTACAGTTACTACTAGGTGTCCCATAACAGGGTGCCTATAAGAATTATAGGAACAGTCAGAACTGGAAGAAGAATTCACACAATAAGGATGATAAGAATGGTACGACTAATACAAACGTTACAAACAACGAGAATAACAAGAGCCGCATAAGAATGACAATAGGGTTGGTTCGCCAGGGTTCCAGCAATTACCGGCGTCCCTAGACGAGACTTCCTATACTAGGGTTCCTATCAAACCCTGAAACGAGGTACTTACTATTTGGGGTTTGGGGTCTTCGTACTATGGAGGCACGCTATGTTGAAGCCGGAAGCAAGAGCATTTTCTGGACCCAAACTCGCGCCCTCAAAGCCACCAGCCTTGCGCGTGTAACGACACGTATTTGGTGGGACCTGGTGGGTCCGAGCTCTTCTCTACGGTGGGACCCAAATCGGGTTCCGTGGGACCCGGTCAGTCCCAGCTCTTCTCTACGTGGGACCCAAATCGGGTTCGGTGGGACGTGGTGGGACCCGGTGGGTCCCAGCCCTTCTCTTCGTGGGACCCTACACCCCGTCTGGGTTTTACAACGCTAATTAGGGTGAGGGGAGGTGCCATGATTGTCATTTTCACTGCACTGTAGCATTGTAGTCCAGGTGCGCGTCCAGCCGGTGTGTGCAACCGTTGAAAGGGAGCCGGGCACAACCAACGTCGACCGTTAAGCAGCTTTTTGTGAGGGTTTTCGGCCCAGTTTGCAGGCCCAGATTCCGGACACCAAGCCGGCTTCATGATAGACTGCCCTGAATGTGCGTTGGTCCAATTTTGGGGTCCGCAGAGCGACTCTGAAACCGGAACCCCAACACGGGAAGCAAGTCTGGTCGCAAGGATGGGAGCACAAAGCAGCCCGACAAGTAGTTTGAATGATCGGTGCCGACATTGTGGTTCCCAATATACGGAGTTTCCGTGGCTCCAAAACTCGGCCCGCGGCACGGCCCGTAAACTGGTGACCTTGCTACTGCTGGCATTAAGAAAGCTGCCCGGAAAACGGTCCCAGAAACGAGGCCGGAAGTCGGATGTTTTGCTTGCCAATCCAATGCCCCTGTGGCTGCCCAACCGTTCTCTAGACTAGACCAAAAGCTTGCATGTAGCTTGCTGCGACATGGCCCTACATTGCACAATTTGTCCTTCCCCCAGACAGAGAGAGGGGCATGTAAGCTGACGGAATTCTTATAATACTATGGAGGCACGCTATGTTGAAGCCGGAAGCAAGAGCATTTTCTGGACCCAAACTCGCGCCCTCAAAACCACCAGCCTTGCGCGTGTAACGACGCGTATTTGGTGGGACCTGGTGGGTCCGAGCTCTTCTCTACGGTGGGACCCAAATCGGGTTCCGTGGGACACGGTGGGTCCCAGCTCTTCTCTACGTGGGACCCAAATCGGGTTCGGTGGGACGTGGTGGGACCCGGTGGGTCCCAGCCCTTCTCTACGTGGGACCCTACACCCCGTCTGGGTTTTACAACGCTAATTAGGGTGAGGGGAGGTGCCATGATTGTCATTTTCACTGCACTGTAGCATTGTAGTCCAGGTGCGCGTCCAGCCGGTGTGTGCAACCGTTGAAAGGGAGCCGGGCACAACCAACGTCGACCGTTAAGCAGCTTTTTGTGAGGGTTTTCGGCCCAGTTTGCAGGCCCAGATTCCGGACACCAAGCCGGCTTCATGATAGACTGCCCTGAATGTATAGTAACATGTAATGTCCCAGCTGTGAGAGTACAATGTCATTCAGTAACGCATACTGGCATGTACAAGCTACTTACTACGGCGACATGTACTGGCACAGCAAAAAAGCCCATACCGCGTCATATGTTATACAATGTTTTATGTAAGCTGAACGGTAACGGCGTGATCTGACTATTGCTTGTTTTTTCTTGCGACTTCCTGCAGCGACACCTTGTTCTGCAAGCGGAAATACTTCCCTCTGGGGGAAATCGGACCTCGTAAGTACGTCGCCGTCGTCTCCACCTTCGAGTGCTTGTTCGCCAAAGCCATGACGCGATTATGCAAGAGCAGTAAGACTGAAGCGGCGGCTTGTGTGCGTGGTTGCTGAGAGTTTGTGGAAGACGTACTTCCGCACACTTCTGACCTTGCAGGAACTTCTTGAACTCACTGTACAGTAGGAGCTGCATTGATTCTCAGTAAGCCTGCCAGTGTGAGCTGGATTCTTGGTGTTTCCGAGGTGGTGTTTGATGTTTGGGAGAAGCTGTGGCTTGCAGCATGGACCCAATCTTAGCTAGGGCTTCAAGAATCGAACCCTCCGAGCCCAAACACAGGGCTTACTTGGAGGATCATGGGACTTAGTAAGTCAGGTTATAAGTACCCTAATTGGGGTTATACGTGTAATTACCCTACAAATGACCCTCGTTACTAAGTCCCATGATCCTTTAAGTAGGACCCAAGGCCAGCTCGGTGGGTTTGGACTGGGAAGATGTTTCGGGAAAGCACGAAGTGAGATGAGAAGAGAGGCCATCGCAATCGAAAGCGGCCCTCCGTCGTCACGGTAGTACCTGCCGAGCCATTCTGCTAGCCTCAGGTACCTGCATTCTACGAGAATGCCAGGTCAACATACCCGCTCTTCGCGCTGGAAGAGGTGCAACTGTTGCGGAAGAAGACCTAGATGGGTTTGGGTTTAGCAGGTTTCATCTTCTCAGAAGCTTCGGCGAGATCCTGCCTAATCCCTGGCAAATGACTAACTTCAGCCCCGCGCTGCTCATTGCAGGGTGAAGCTCCCAAACCCAGAAATGAAACAGAAGTACGGTTGATGATAGAAACCCTGCAGGACCCAGAATAAGGAATATACCATAATTCCCATAGTTTAGGGTCCTTAAGGTCATGCAGGATTGATATCATCAACCGTAGTTATTGAAAGTCTACGATTGGCTCTTCGCGGTTTGTTCTTCGAGCTCTTATGTGTGAGATCTCCCGGCGACCGATGTCAGGATGCCGGGGTGGCAGCGCGGCTGAACCCCTTTGCTGCCTTTGATGGCGATGCTTGGCCAAGGCACCAGCAGAAGTGCTCACATACTTGCCACTTGTGGCGCCATTGCCATGCCTGATTCCGAGAAGGGACATGCAGACAAGCACCTGCCAAAACCGGCATCGTAGCATCAGCCGGCCACAGGCGCCAGCACGAAGGCCAGCATCGCCAGCATCAGCCTTGTAAGCCCATCGCAGGAGCCAGCTGTATCGCCTCCACGCAGCCAGCATCAACATCATAGTGTGACGAATCAACCCATTGCGGCTTACTGAAGTGGCACTGCGCGGCAATATCGGCTGCCCAGCATGTCCACCAGGAGCATCAGCTGGCAAGGTTATGCGCCAAGCCCCATGCAGCGGCAAGCAGCAGTAGTCACAAGTACATTGCGCCAGTTTTGAACTCTTGTTCTTCTCTGATGCACTGTCATTGTTTCCTCCAGTGTGCAGCCTCGTTGTTTCTGTTGTTGATTTCTGATTCCGCCGGGAACCTTCCGGGCGCAGGGGCCTGCTCGTGCTGACAGCCGTGATGTCACTTGGAATCTCGAGGCCCGGTGGCTGCCGAGTCGATTGTCATACAAGTAGGAGCTGAGAATGCCTGCTGCCACACTTGGCGCTGCTGCTTCTGCTGCTGCGCAGCCTTCTCCTGTGTGTGTGCCCCCCTGTACTGCGTGCCGAGCCCTGAACCCGACGCCGACAACCTTCAATCAGCGCTGTCTGTACGTCATTCTGCTTTCGAGGTGGCGGTGCTGCAGCATGCTGACATGGCTTCTTGTTGCCATGTCCGTCTGAGCCTTGGTTCGGGAATCGCAGGTTCCAGAGCAGCGTGCACTCTTCAGTCTTCGCCTGTCAAGAATGCTGCCACAATACTAACCCTTTGATAACACCTCGCAGCGACAGCGCAATCACCGCGAGAATAAAACAAGAGGTGGACACATTAAGTGATGCCAATCTAGTGCTATCACAAGGTACCACTGTAGCTGTGCCCTTTGAGGTGCTGAGAAACGTTCACGCGAGCTTTATCTTCGACCCTGGGCAGCCAGGACAAGTCCTTTGACGTTTTGAGATGAGTTCAGGTGCCCGCAATCTATTCAGCGGCAGCCTCGGGCGCGACAGGCCGCCTTACTGCTCGACAGCCCCTCTTGACCTAGGTATGTACGTGCCTTATGTGTGTGTGTACGTATGTGTATATATTTAAAGTTTTTCGAGATGTAGCTACATATATTCACAGTTCTCGAGTTTGCTTTCGACAATGAGGGCAAGCTTCTAAGCCCATGAGAAGCCCTGCGGCTGTGGAATCAGTGACAGTGCCGACAACCTTATGCCCTGAGTCCCTTTGCGGGGCTGCTTCATGATTGATTAGCTTTTGAAAGCCATTCCTGGACTTGGCGTCCTGCAGCTGTTTCAGAACCCACGGTCCCTCCGAGCCCGAGCCAGAGCTGCTTTCGCTGTAGTTGGGTGGTTGCCGGTCGCCCAGGACAGGTATCTCCTGGTGGCATTGCTCTTTACTAGCTGCTTGCCCTATGGGGAGGTCCCCGGAGGCTGGTCCGTGTCAGTGGCATCTTGGCTGCCGATAGTCGCCCCGCGCTGTGGCTTCCATCACTCTATTTAGACAGAACGGATGAGCCCCGAACCCTAAAGAGCCCAAGAGGGTGCATCGATTTTGTGCCTGGTGAAGTCAAGTGAGGTACTGTTGCGTGCTCAACTGGTCAGAGGCTTAGCACTGGATTCCCGCCACTAATACCAAAATCGGTGCGTTGGAGCTTCCAGCCAGCTTTGCTCAATCCACACAGAAATCACCCCAAACACAGACGGGGAGTGCCAGCCTGCTTTGTTGTGAAGGCGGGCCCCCGCTGGTAGATCCCCTAATTTGGGGCCCTATACTACTAAGGGTACTTTATAGGAACCCCCATTACGGGATCCCCGAGGCCTGGATCTACATAGATGCTGGCTACGGCAAAGTGGTGCAGGAGCGAGGCGCCCTCTGGAACTCCACGGCTCAAAGCCTCATCCATGCCTGCCTCGTGCGAGTGTGTGAGTCGAAAGGAACCCTTGAACCCGCAACCGCAAACCCTAAACCCATGAACCCGAGGTTGCAGAGTCCCAGTCGCGAGAGTCCAAACCCTTAAACTCCTAAACCCTCCGGAGGGTCTTGCCATGTTTTTGACGACTTGTTCGTCGCTGACTGGACGGGAACTCTTCGTTCGCAGGATCCGCTCCTTTGTCCTCTGCTGCTGCAGTTGTGAGCCATGGCTCCCTTTTCGCTCACCGTTGTTGTTCTCATTCTTTCGTCTTGCATTGAATTCTTCGGTTTGCCCGTACAGCTGGTAATTATTAAGGCCCTATATTGTTAGTATAGTAAGACAAGCTCCAGGGGACTGGTCGCTGGGCGCTGCCGTTCCTGCCCTGGCCGTCATGTGCTGAGGACACTACCATCACCACTATTCTTGGTGCATGCGTCTTGTTTCCAACGTGCGTAGTGTTCTGAGTCTTCCAAAGTTTATTAACGGCAAAGTCTGTACATTATATAGCTAGCATATTTGACATATCATGGCCATTCTCATTGGCTGCTATTCCAGCCCTAAGTAGCTGCATCATACATGTTGTGTTCATCAGGGATGCCCGTAGCCCTGACATGTCCTTGGTGACAAATTTCTTCCTACTGTTTCTAGCAATATTTCCTACATTACAAAAGAAAATTAAAAAGTATCCCTCTGTTATTGGCACACCTGTTTCAGCACGCGAAGCTCGCAATTCCTTATACTTTCTCCTAAGCTCGGTAGGTAGGTAGGGCTGTATGTACGTATGTACACAACGAATGCAAGTACAGGGATGTAAACAGACAGATGTACGCACAACAGGCTATGCTTTTTGTCCCCGCGGCGTTGTCAGCTCTGGGAAAGCTAAGCAAAGATCGAAATACCGCACCACCCCAACCTTTTCTCCTAACTCCCCCCCCCCCCCCCCCCCCCCCCCCCCGAATCTTCCTACCCCTCCCTTGCCGAGGTCTACCTCCGGGCCCCTGCCTTCACCCCTCTGCTTCGCCTGGACGCTGCCCTTGGTGGCTGCGTGCTGCGGGCCGCCGGAGCTGCAGCGGCATGGGCCGCTGGTATCGACAATATGCTACTGTTAAGCTGCCCGAGTAAAAGTCAGAATTCATAATGCTACCCCAAATGCCCTATTAAAACCTGCAGTGTTTGCCAACGAGCTTGCGATGCGGCGGCTAAACAAGATTACTGAAGCAATCCAAAACTCCAAAATTCGGTTCGGCAAGTGAGAATAGAAAACACAATAAGCGACGATGTTCTGGCATTTGGAGGCCGAACTTCTAGTCGGCCCTGCCATGATCGCGGCAGCCCTCCACGGTGGTTGCTGGGTGCAGCGCTCACGGCTGGATTGACACCTTTGTGTCTGAGTGTCTTCGCATTATGCTTGCCTCTAATCTTTGCGTGGCGGGGTGCGGTTGCCGAGTAAACGCTGTCTGTGTCTGTCCAGGTGCAAGCTTTGCCCTTTCTCACTGTGATGCTGCTCCATGCTGGCAGCTCGGCGCCTGCGGGGGGTCGGAAGGCTCCGTGTAGCCTCGGGCCCGCGGAAGTTCAATCTCCGAAAGAAACGGAGAGAGTGCTGAAGAAGGGAGGAGGCAGCTGGCAGGAAGAACCCCACAAGGCGGAGGGAGGCGTGCATGAGACGCGGGAGACATGAGCATTCTGCTGGGTGTCACGTTTTGCCTTCCCCACAATCTTGAGGAGATACACGTTGCCGTTCGGCAGGGTCGGTCTGGACTCACAGTCTGTCTAGAACGACCATGGAGGAAAGGACGGAAGATGACAGAAGCAAGCAAAGATAGGAGGAGAAACATGCCGGTCAAGAATGCCAGCAATTGCTCGGTCGGGCTGAAGGAGCACATTTCTAGACAAGACAGCGAAGCACCGCAAGTACCACACGGACGCAGCGCGGCAGGGAGGTGTATGAAATCACAGGCTGTTGCTCGTATCCACACCTCACACGGCTCGACCCAATGGAAAACAGACTTATGCTGAAGGCGACTGATAGTTTCGCACCGGCCGCTTCACAAGAGCTCAGCTATAGGAGAGAGAGACCCTTGCAGTACCGCCAGAGCAGAGCAGGGAAACAGGCGCTTCTGCACAGGAGCTGCAACGCCGACGTAGCAGAAAGCAGAACACGGGGCAGATCAAACCACAAGAGTCGCGAAGTCATAAATCTAGTAAGTTTGGGCGCCGCAAATATACACGAACCATGCCTAACAAAGGTTATCAGGAGAGCCCGTTTGCTTCGGTATGTATTTGTTAACTCCCCCCCTCCGCCCACTCCAGTGACCTTCGGAGATTTTGACAAATAGCTTATTCCGACGCTGGTTCTTTGGGTGACAGAAGCCCCGCATCTCTCATACTAAAACTTCCTATCCCAATTAAATGGGTGGTTGTCAACATTATGGCCCCTTTTTGGGTTATATTATAATACGGCACCTATTATTTAGGGTACCCCAACAGGGACCCTCAGTTTGAGAACTACCCAAACGGCTTCGACTTCCTCGGCCCGACTGTCCAGAGCCACAGGCATTGGTGCCTCGATGGAGGGCGGCTTCGCCATCGCTTTGGTGGCTTTGGCCACCTGGGCAGCGCTGCTCCCCGGGGCGTTCTGGGAGGCCATCTTCCAAAAGGGGCCTGTGAGCGTTTAAGGCTTTTGTCGGTCAAGGCTAAGGTGCCAACGGCGGATTCGTTTATGAACTAGTGCTTCAGCATGCCTCACCCACCCGTCTCAGTCTTCGAGCCAGTAGTAAAGACTGCAATCTGCTGCAGAGACACTCACTCTTCAGGCGCTTGGCCTCGCGGTGCGAGATGGAGGAGTTGCGGAGTAAAGATATGCACGCCGAACCACCCTGCGGACCCCATGGAATGACAATACTATTGTCATTGCCTCCCGCCATGGTTCAGATGGAATGGCGAGAGTTTCAGCCTGTAGAGTTAATTGTTAATCAACTAAGCATAATTACTAAAATATCTTTAATCAAATGATTGAAAGTTATATATGTATTTTCTGGTGTTTGTTTCTTTTTTAAGAGTGGCGATCCAATATGCGGTTTGAAGGACGCCGCCTGGATGCACCGGCAGGTGGTTGGGCCGCTTGGCGCCAGCTTTGACGGAAGCCTTCGGCAGCTAACAGGGTTTAGGGTTTAGGGTTTAGGGTCTAGGGTTTAGGATTTAGGGTTTTAGGGTTTAGGATTTAGGGTTTAGGGTTTAGGGTTTAGAGTTTGGTTTAGGGTCTAGGGCAAGCGATGACTTGAAAGCCGTTGCCGGACCTCATTCGCGGGTATTGTGCAAAGCTGCTTTGTTTTGGGGCAGCATGTCCTCCATTGCTAGTGATGTCGGGCTTTTGGAGTCTTTTTTCTCTACACGTTCCCGCCATCAATCGCGAGGCAAAGCTGTATTTTCCCAGCCGCCTAACTGGTTTGAACCGCAACACCTCCTATGTCCCCAAACCCCTGAAACTCCTGCTGTGACATGACAGCATCACGGCAATGGTACGATCCTGTTTTAGTGTTATGCCAGTAATGAAGTAGGAAGACAACCATTTTCTAGCAAGAGTGTAAAACAATAACCACGTAATGCTGCGACAGTAGTAACATGACAACAGCACCCTAGTAATATACTTGCACTCGGAATACAGTGGCAATATGCTTGTCACAGATATCATCGTATCACAGTGGTACTGTAGCAGTACCACCGTGGTATTATGATGTCATCATCGTCGCAAGAGTATCAGCAGTGTATAAGGTACCCTTAGTAGTATAGGGCCCCAAATTAGGGGATCTACTTTCTAGATCTTTTTGGGGTCCTCAGGCGGCCTCGATTTTCCTCGCTGCCTGCCTGGCCTTCGGCCTCAGCGGCATGGAGAGCCGCCCAGGCTGGGAGAAGTCACGAAGAACTTGAGGAAACGATGGGATGCACTTCGGGGCTTTAAATTTTATGAGGTGCAGGGCTTAGGATTTAGTGTCTAGGGGTAAACGAATACGGTTTAGGATTGGATTGAGGATTTCGGTCGTTTCCGCAGCTGTGATTTGTTTTAATGACTTCCGCTCTTGGCAGAATTGACAAGAACTCCGGATGCTCAAGCATGTTCAGGGAACCGATATCGAAGGTTCCATGCACGCCCCAATCCGGCTCGAGCATGCAAAGGAGTGAGGAAGATGCACGCATTCGCATGAACCAGGCCCGGCGCCTAACGTCGCCCATCCAGTCGGACATCGCCATGAAGAGATCCCGCGAAGCAATGGTTGACGATGGCGAAGCTGCCAAAGTTCTTCACACCGAGCCTCCCGCGGTGCCCCGGTGTGGCGAAAATGGAATTCCGTTTTTAAATAGCCGAGTTCATAACAAAAACTCCTTCCGGCTGTCCGGTCCCTGCAAGCAACAAGACAATTTCCTTGGATCCGCGAGCAGAGTGCAGAGTACTTGGAAGGTGACCTTTGTGGTCCTCGGCCCCAGTGGTCAGGAGATCGGTCGCTTCCGGCTGCCTCGGCAGGCCCAAGCATCGGAGCTCAAGCAGGCAGTGGAGGACCGACTGCACGTCAAGAGGAGCTGTAAGTGCAAAGGAACCTGTACTATACGCCTTCGTAAGTAGAAGGGTTTTGGGGGTATCTTAAACTTTGACTGGTACAGGGATTTCAAGGGAATAGATTGCTAATGATTCATATCCCTGTATTCCTGGACAAATGCTCTGCGTCCGCCAGCAGTCATTGCATGTATGCGTGAACAGCAAGCGTCAGGACAACGGGGGGAGTACTACGAGCAATAGCAGCACCCGAAAGAAGGATGACCATTGAAACAAACATCATTGTGAGAGCTGCTGGCCGTAGACAGTAGGTTTGCAGGCCGAGTGAAAGTCTCAAAAAGCTGTCAGATCCGAGTTTAGAGTGGAACTTTTGCAGTGGCCCTTCACATGGAAGCCCTTGTAGGAACCATTCGATACCTCCATGAATTGCTCCAGAGATGCTTGAAGGAATCTGCTGGCTTGCCCCGCGAGACTCAGCAGGTTCTCATCGGGCACCGCCGTGTCGAGGATCGGGAGCTGTTGCTGCCAGGCGGGCATTTGCTAAACAGTGCGAGATTGATGTGATGATTGGGACTTTGATGGTTTTTCCTCTTTGCCTGCGAACCCATGAGAAGAGTGATTGCTCCTGCCTGCTGTCCATCTCTTTGACGAGGCTTTGTTTGGCATTCATGGTGACGTAAATAGTGACACAGTGCTCTCAGTCTCTAAGCGTCCAGGTGGTGATACTCCGGACCTGGCAGAGGTCGAGGTGACGCTGTTGGTTCAGCTGCCCGTCCCCACGACACGCTTTGAAGTTCAGTGGAACGAGCTGCCAGAGACCTCCGGCTACCTTGAGGAGCTGAGAGTCTTAAACCCGGCTCGTGCAGGGATGTGGGGCTGGCCGCCGAAGGAAGAGCTCGTCCCCACCGCTAGGATGGGCTGCGTTGGCATGGACCCGGAGAGTGGCCTCCTCGTTCTGGTGGGAGGAGGCCTTCTTGAGCACTCCGGGCGGCGGAGTAGGAGAAGTAGACCTGGCATGTACGACTCCGGTGAAGGATCTGATAGCTTCCATGCCTCAGAGCTAGAGGAAGAGGACGGCGAAGACGGCGAGGAAAGGCCGTCGGGCCCTTCGGTGGAATACCTGCCCTTCTCTTGGAAGCCTTACTATCGGCGGCAGCATCCGCCTCGCAGGCGGCATTACGGCAGAAGCCACCATGGCTTCCGGAATTCTGCCAGAAACAGCTTGCTGGTGCTGCCAGCAGACAGCCCAGCCTTCTCTCTTCCACTGGATGGCCACGACCCACTTGTGACAGCAGTAGAAGTGCATGCCATGTCGTCACTACAGGGATATCCTTTCCCCTCTATTGGACTAGCAGTCGCCCTTGCCACTGGAAGCCGCCGAAAGTTTGCGGGTCCACTGAAGTTAATTGCATGTGAGCTGAGCCCCGTGGCTGCAAGGACCATATGCTTGACACCTGTAGATGCTGACTGCCAGGCAGTCTGCCTGGACCGTGCCAAGGAGCTGGCCATCTCGGCTGAAGTGCACTCCGATGGCAGTTACATTGGTGTCTACCGCCTCAGGCCTTGCCGGGCCTCGAGTGCAGAGAGGCAAAGGCTGTGTGCCGAAGTGGGGTCCCGTGGCAGGAGGGCCACGAGCATTGCATGGTCTGAACCCGCCACCGCCGTTCTTCTCACCTTTGCAGGGGAGCATGCCATTTACGTGTACCAACGAATGGGCGCTGCCTGGCAGCCTGTGCAGACTCTGGGCGATTCTTCGAGTCGGGGCTGTCAGGATGGCCTGGCTGCAGATTTGCGATTTTGGTTTCCATGCGGAGACTGCCGACTTCTGCAAGGACCATATGGATCCTTGATGAAGGACTCCTTTCCCCTGGTGCCGGGCCCGGGTGGAGCAATTTATGTCCACAGCGGGGGTGCCTTGTTCCTTCTGGCTGCAGATCTGACTTCTGCTTCCAAGATCACTTCCATGCGAGAGGAGCTCTGGCTGATAGAGGATGATGAAGGGACGCCTATTTTCCCGACTTGTCAAAATGTGTTTGGAGTGCATTCAGGTAGTGTTTACCGATCTCTTGTAAGGACCAATGATACTGAAGAGGTGCTGATACGCAGACTCCAGGTTTCTGCAGAGCTGCGACGGCCTCGAAGCGGCATCCGTGCGACGGCTCCCAAACTCTGGCCCAACATTACAGAACAACGGGTTTATCCTGCCGAGTTGGATCCCGACCCACAGATTGCGCCGACATATTATCATGACTCAAATCGAGACAAGTGGGATGGTAACGTCATGTGGCTTTCCGATGACTGGTTGTGGGAAGATTGCCCCCAAGAGAAGCCGCAGGATCTGCGCGTGTCAGGGTTCGGCAATTGGACCACCTTTGCGAGGTGGCGCGCGACATCCTCTCAGCATGTACATGGTGAGCACAACGACGTTCAACTTAGGATCTCTTATGTCGACGAATGTAAGCCTGTGCTGCCTTGGAAGAAGTAATTAGGACTTCGACTCATGAACTGCTTCGCTACCTGCTGTGCCCTCTGGCCGTCACGGTGATTGTGCCAAGTTCAGGTCCCACGGAGATTGAAATGGCTCTTGCAACGTATGTGATCCACAATCTGTTGCAAGCTGCGGCTTTGTGCAAACATTGGAGGGTTCCATGAGCGCCCAACACTCAGAAGAGACATCGGTCAGTCGCGAAAGCTCTCGGCAATGAAACCAGTGCTTCGACGCGAAAAGGTCCCAGGTCAGGCTGTAGCCGCCTGAAGCCAGTGTGACTCCAAGGTCCTACGGTTGATGATATAAATCCTGCATTACCCATAATAAGGAATATGCCATAACTCTTATAGTTTAGGGTCCTTAACGTGATGCAGGGTTTATATAATCAACAGTAGTTGAAGTTTAGCAGTTTACACAACCCACACTGCTCCGTCACATTGCTGTTTATCGTACCTACTACTGCCACTACTGTTGCAAGCACAAGGGCTGCTGCTGTTGTTGTTATGCTGAATGCTATACACCTACCGCCAGTCCAAACATTGCATTTATTTCTCAGAAGGTACTATTTATTGCCAGCTTTTCAATCCCACCCTTAAGCCTCATTTTGATCCTAGCCATGCGAGAGGCAAGAGTTTCGATGGCTACTTCGATGACGATTGGATTAGTGTTTCGAATGAATCAGAAGTTAAGTATTGCCACTATCAGTATCAGTGAGCAGTATCAGTATTGTCGTTAGTTTCCATCACTGTCCTGGTATTGGTCTTGCGATAGAAGGCCAGAAGTTCAGGGTATTTGGTTTAGGTCACGTGTGATTGTTTTGTGTATGTAAGTGTAGATCTTGTTGTTACTCTTGTGGTTCTTTATCAAAGTCATCATGATTGATGATTGATGTAAAAGCTGATTTTCCGGTCTTCCCCACAAAATACAGCCAGCGAGTTTCTTTCGTACCTTCTTCGAAGGCCCGATCCCCACGGTGCTGCTTCTGAACCGCTGGCGCGTGAGCCTTGACTGCCAGAACGACAGCCTGGGGGTTCAGGGTGTGGTGCTTATGGCTTAGGGTCCGAAAAGCATCCCGTTCGCACCTGTCACCTGGCACGATCTTTCTTCTTTCCTGGCTCGTCTGAAGTCCAGCAACAACCCAACATGCAATTCCGTGGGGCTGCGTCCAATATCATCCGCCTTGAGGTTCACAGGCGCCGACACCACCTTGAACTGGGAGGCGTCGAAGCTCTCTCGGGGATTCCAGGGTTAATTACTATAATACGGTACACTATATTTCACGATAATAATACATCATACATTATACTGTATTATTTTCTTATAACATCAGTTATACTGTGTAATCTAGTGTCGTATCATCAGTTTAAAGATGAGAAGAGGCCAGGGTGCCACAGCAGAAGGACATGTGGAGCAGAGCTTCGCCAGGTGGCCCCAGCTCGCCTCGCCAACGGTGGCCGGGCTGAGTTTGGCTTAAGACACGGTTTAGGGTTTAGGGTTAGAGATTAGAGTTGGGTTTTTCGGGTATAGGATGCTATATTTAGAAGAAGCAACGCAAAATGGTACATATAGACAAGTATTTGAGGCCCCTATGGAAGGCCTGTGGCGGTCTGTGCTGCAGAAACCCTAAGCCCATCCTGGCGATGCCGAAGCAGCGGTTTCTGTGTCACCAAGGCAGCACCGTGGACCTCTGGTCCTGGCAACCAGTATCATTTGTGGAGCCGCGCTATGGACAGAACCGATAGAGTCCATTCAGGCTTGAAGTGTGATGTGTACCACTTCATCCTAAGTTTGCCGCTGCGACTTTGTTTAAGCAGGTTGAGGTGCGTAAGACACGCATAAGATCGGTAAAATCTTGCTGAAACTTCGACTGGTGTGTCACTACCTAGCTGCCCTGCGCCCTACACCTGAGGGTGTGAGATTTTGTCATGACAGCTTGTGATTTAGATAAGCGTGCAGGGCTTGCACGAGACAGACCTTATGCTTGGCTAAGATGCACCAGGAACTTCTGGCATCGTTTGTCCGATTCCTGCAACCTCCACACCCTCAACCACAACCCGACACTGAACTCTAACAGAAGCAAAGCTTGCTCGCAGGACGGCGTGGCCGATGGATGAGCTTTCCAAGCACCAGGCCAGGGAGCCCTGCTGCTTTGGGGTGTAGGGTTGGTTTCGGGCTCCGGGGGAAGTGGAGAGACTGTTGCAAAAAGGGTTTCGGGCTGGGGGTGTAGCTGCCTGCAGCAGTCTCACTATTGCACTACTGTAAACCGTAAACCCCTAAACTAACCCCAAGCCTTAAACCCGAACCTAAACCCCCAACCCCCTAACTACAACGGTAGCAGTGGGACCTCGAAGCCGTGCCTGCGTCAGCGAGTGTGCGTGTCGAAACCCTACAACCCGAGCCGGTCCTTCAGATCCCGCTCTGGAGGCCTGGTTCGCCGGAAGCACTCTCGGCCCGCTTTCGGTACTTCTGCCCTCCGTCTGCCTTCTGAGGGTTTGGGAGCAAAAGCTACGGGGTTTTCTGGTTCAACAGTTCCAGGCTTGGGATTCATGGGTCGTAGCGTGGGATTGTGGCCGTGCGGTTTAGTGCGAAAGGTTTTTAGATGTTTCTCGATCTTGAGCCCTTAACCCTTCGCCATAGAGCTCCGGAGTCAAACGCACGCACAGCTCGGAATACTGTCGCGTTGCTTGCGGTTTGCAAGGTGACGAGTGGAATGGCGCCCACGAAGTGAAGGTGCTGAAGTACCAGTTCTTCGAGCTCTTCGCCGACTTAGGCCGCCTGGCTTTTAATTGGCAGTCTTTGGCCATTCTGAGATTCTCACCCCTCTGCAGTGGCATGAAGCCCCAAACAAACCCCACTGGAAAGATCTGTCCGTCTGTGCGTTCGAACGATGTAGCTCGCCGTCTCGAGCAGTTCCAGTGACCTCAGGCCCTGACCTCGAAATGTGCTGGACTCAGCCCGACTGTCGTAAGGATCAGATACATCTGACGCTGCGCGCCTCAGTTCCTTGCGGAGGGATCAGCGAGAGAACTCCAGAGCCGAGGCTAGCTCCCCGAAAGACGCTGGTTCGCGTTCAGAGCTGCAGCGAAGAGTCTGAGCATGGAAAAAAGCTCCCTGAGCTTGGTAGCCAAGTCCACAGTCATGTTTTTTTGTTCACATTCGCCGAGAGTGTGTGCTCTTCGTTGAAGGTCCAAGATCAGACAACGAGCCAGTAGAGGAGGGCAGGGCGGGGCAGCCATGGCGGCGGATGGTGGGCTGCCCTTTGCAAGCCTCCCTGGTCTGGGAGACACGGAGCTCGAGGGCTTTCCAGCGGAGAGATGTCCGGAGCAGATGCCCGACCTCTCGAGACACTTCAGCATCACGGCTGATGTTCTCAAAGAAGAGCCAGCCCTTTATGACGCGATGCGATCTCGGCAAACGCCTATGGGAGTGACTTTTGCCAAATGCATTAAGACCGGCATGGACAATCGCGGTCACCCCATGATCAAGACTCTAGGCCAGGCTTCGGGTGGGGGCTGTTTGCAGGAAGACGCTGTTGCTGTTGTTTCAAGGGCGAAGAAGAGCTGACAGCTGCAGCTGTAGCGCCAGGTGCAGTGGCAGGTGATGCAGATTGCTACGACACTTTCCAGCCGTTCTTTGACAAGCTCATTGCTTCGTGCTTTGGGCAGGAGGGGCATGCATCATCTAGACTTCGTGCACCCCGATCTAGCGTCCTCTCAAGCAGTGAACCCTGAGCATAGGCCGCCCTCGAGCGACCGCACCTCGCAAGTCCAAAGCGCTTCATTCCTGCCGTGGGTCTGGCCGACCCGAGCTACATTGTCTCGAGCCACCTTCGTGTTTCCAGGCCATGGTGCACTTAAAAGGGGCCGCGGGTCAAAGGGTTTGGGACACTTTCTCAAGCTGAAACGAACCCCAGAGCCGAGGAACGTCCAGGGACTGCGCTTCGTGCCCTCCATGCTCCGATCGGAGCGAGCGGAGGTGGAGCGCATGTTGGTGAAAGCACTCCTCGGCGGCCTGCTCGAGGGACCGGGGCTTTACCGAAACGAGTTCGGTTTAGGGTTTAGGGTTTAGGGTTTAGGGTTTTGGTTTAGGGTTTAGGGTTTAGGGTGGACCCTCTTGGATCAAGGGAAGTGTCGTCAATGTTTGCATGATCGACATGGGTATGTTGGCGGGAAGCAATGGGAATCTTAGATCCTAAGTTAGGGCTTAATCGACGAAGAGTTCCCAGCCCGTTCTCGAGTCTGCCGAACACAGTCTGCAGGCATAGTGCCTATGCCACCCTAAATTCCACCCTCCTGAAATATGTAAGAGTACAAGGCCCCAAATGAGGCGGACTTTGCACCAAATCATAGGTAAGTGTGTGTGTGTGTGTGTGTGTGTGTGTGTGTAGGTGTGTGTGTGTGTGTGTGTGTGTGTGTGCAAAACCCAGTTATGAATCCCCTGAATCAGCTACCTTGGCTATAGCTACAGCTTTTATGTGGGTTATAAACCAACCGAACCTCCAAGCTTTGAAGGAGACTACTTCCCTCTGGCGGGATCCAAGACCTACGCTCCAAAACCCGGTGGGATGCAAGCGAAGGAGGAGCCTTTCCGGGGACCCTGCTTAGAGTTTCCGGTATATTATAGTATATCATAGTACATTGTACTTTATTACAACATATTACAGTATATGACCTGTTTGGAGTTTAGGGCTTCGTCTCCTGAGTAGCCCTGACCGTCAGCTCCATACACGGTAAAGGCCGTTATACTCCAAAGCCCCAACAAACCCTAAGCCACTCGGGAGCCACAAGAGCCTTTCAGCCCCTTCAAGACAGCAACAGGAGCTGCTTCTCACACAGTGTGGCCGCCTCTTCCGCGAGCCCGACTCCCCAGCGGTGCCGCCTGGCATGCAAGAGGTGCTCGAGGTCGTACTGTAGGGATGTTTAGGGTTTCGGGTTGGGTGCCTTAAGCTGGTGTTCGACAGGCAGATGTCGTGGGGAGCTTTTTGAAGCTTGACACTTTAGTGCTTCGGGCTGCAGGTACCCTGAAGAGGTGCAGGGCCTCCGTTTCGAGTCTTTCCAAAGCCTGCTCTCTGGGCATGTTCGCAGGGCTGGTTCGTCGTAGACTAATCATAGGTTTTCAGCAGTTAGCAAATTCGTTTGAAACTCTGACATGTTTCATGTAACCTCCCAGCTTAGTTGTAGTATGTAATATAATTTTTATTATAACATATAATATAATACACTATATAATAAAATATAATAATGATTAGGGCGGGATCCCAAGAAGCCGAGGCTCAGCACTGGAAGCGGTCGCCATTGGCCGGATGGTCGCGGGGTCTTCACGAACAAGGAAGTGGGCCTAATATGCGGGCCTACATGATTACCAATACTATTCTGCGGGTTCCTTATTACAAATATAGTATAAGGGCCCCCCCAAATTTCTAATTATAAAGGCCCCTATATTAGAGCCTGTAGCACTGTAGTAGTGCAATTCGCAGGTGGAGTTGTTCAGAGGCAATTGAAGCCGATCTGCCATAGTTGTATGGCCTCATGCTGCGTACAAGCTTTCCTTCGAGACCATGTGGGTGGTTGTCAAAATTAGAGTCCCTTTTCGGGTACCCTAAATATTAGGTGCCGTATTATAATAGGGACCCAAAAAGGGACCCTAATTTTGACAACCACCCATGTGGCGGCCTCTCAGCTCAATTCGCTTGCCAGGACCGGACCCTGACTGCGTGGATCAACGAGGTGAAGCGGTTGTAACACCTGGGTTTCGCGCATGAGTGGAAGGTCTTTCTTGGCTCACTACGCACACTCTGTATCTTTGCTGCCTTTCTTCTCTTCCACTGACAGTGTCTGTTCGAGGAAGAACATCTGAAGCTCATGGCAGATCGCCGCGCAGCTGCGAGTAATGTGGATGAAACTGTACTTTGCACAGCCCGTCTTGTCTCTTGTCTCGCTCTCTCTACAAGCAGCGATTACATGATTTGGGACATCTAGTTCGCATTCCTTCCAAGTGGAATGTGTCTTCAATGGACCCATTGGGCTGTTTTGGGACAACAGGCTTACATCCTAAACCTCGGTCTAGGCCTGATCAAACCTGCTGTGACGTGCCAGGTGTCACAATACCGGGGTCGGAGCGGTTAGTAAGCACATCACCTTACAGTCCCTGTACAATTACTCTGTCATTTACCAACAAAACGCCATGGCAATCGTCCTGGCGCTTCGAACCGAAACCCTTCCGGCGGATCGCCCGCGAGAGACTCAAACCCAAGCCGTGGCCGCTGACTTCCGAGGCCAAGATGGTCAGCTCCTTGAGATGCTGGGGGAGATGGTGCTCCGCTTAGTTGGGATTAGAGTTTAGGGTTCAGGATGCTGAGATGCGGGGGGAGAGGCTGCTCCGCTGAATTGTTGGAGAGTTTCGGATAGCTGCAAGGATGAGATTACTGTTGTTGTGGCAATTGTGGTGGGCGTAGTCTTCTTTGTGGTCACCGCCATCCTCGTCATAATAATACTTGAACCTCTTCAAACAGTGATCCAGCTTTGGGGTGAAGCTGGGAGTTCCAAGTCTTGACATGCAGTGATCCCTTGAGGTTCCAACCTTTTCATGCACCGTTCCCGTATTGCATGCTACCACATTGCAAACCTAGATCGAGACCAGGTGCCTGCCCGCAGGACTTTCTGTAAGATCTTCTCAACCATTACGAAAGTTCTGTGCTGTTCTTCAAGGGGTTTATCTAGGCGGCTAGACCGGATTCCATCACGGAGCTTGGGGTAATTGCAGGTAACTTTGCTATCCACGCTGGAGCGCCTGGCGGGTGGCTTTGCGAAGAGTGACCGTCTAGGCAGGTGGCGGTCAAGATCCTCCAACATCGTTCTTTTGTTCTCTTGTTGTTGCTCGTGTTCTTGGCGACTCATTTACATGGATTGCCGCTGTCACTCCAGTTGCTGCTGTTGTGGCTTGTCTTGGCTTAGGTTGAGGTTCGCTGGCTGGCTTTTCCATTGATGCCAGGGTGGGTTGATGCAATCACATGCTATCTGAGATCTCTTCAACTGTTCTTCGAAGTCACTCTGCAATACCTAGTCCTTGCCAGATGCAAAAAATCACTGTTCTGCCCAATGTGATTGCTATCCCTCTTCCCGTCTTGTGCAAAAAGGCTTTCGTTGGCTAGCGCATGGCAGAAGACACGACTTCCATGTGAAGGCTATCTGAACTCCTCGCCTGGGAACGTCGGCACGGCCATGACGGCCAGCATGGTGGTCAAGCTACCCTTGCTGAAGCTGATGAAGAAGGAGAGAACCAGCCCGGCAGTTCGATCCGCATGAACCAGCTGCCAACTTCAGTCGGCCTGTGTTGCGAAGCATGCAGTGTGCACAATGCTCCTGATAAGCTGATGAGCCAGCCTCTGCAAAAATGAGAGCAGCAGCAGCCACTAACCTCCAATATCATTATTTGTGCTGCTCTTCTTCGCCTTCTGCGTCGTCTTATTACATGGCTGGCATGTTCCAGCCTCCAGAACTTAACACTTACGGGATGTGAATATCAATCGTCTTAAAACCAAGAAAGTATAAATGAGCAGGAGCTCGGAGCTTGGTGCAAGTCCAAGGATCTGCTGGCTCGTGGCGAGCTCTGCTCGGAGGAAGAGTTTTGTGTGTGGATTGATGCAGCTCTTCCACAGGTTGAGGGGTCCATTGTTATTGGTGTTCAGCTTGCTCTCATGTATCTTCTTGTCATTGCTTTCGGTTCGTGTTTGGAACATTCGACAGGTGATGGCTGATGCAATCAGGACATTGGCACTATGAATTCTTGACAAATGACTGAGGCCATCAGACTTAGCATCAAGTCGTCATCATCATCACCACCATCACCGTAGCCACCATGATCAGTATCATCACTGCCCTCGCAAGGACCGTTGTAGCCGCTGTTCGCCATCACCATGGCCAGCATGATCGCGATCGCCGCAGTTGTCCAGGACCATCAGCATAGTCATCATCATCATCACCATCATCATAATTTCACTCGCTTTGTCACCATGTCCTTCGACTCCACCGTGTTGCCCCTCTTTGTTCTCTTGCTTTCGTCCTCCCATGGTGCTGTGTCATTGTTGCCGATGATGGCAGTCTTTGTGGCAGCAGGAGTGTTTGTTGTTGCATGGGCTCGTGAGGTGGCGCCCTCGACGAGCAGGGGCTGCGTGTGGAAGGCCTCGTAGAGCTCTCGCACCGGCAAAAGCTGGGTGTGCGCGAGGAGGACCGGCAAGGGTGTTTACAGGCTTCAGGTGCAGAGCCTTGCGGAATACAGGCCTGTGTGCGTGACAACTGTATAGCCAGAAGAAGCTGTTGGAAAAAGCCTCTTCCACCTACCCTTTTGGTGTGCACCGAGTCGAGCTCACCGCTGCACCTGCAACTGTACGGCTGTCCCAGTGCTGAAGGACATGGTCAAGGAGCTCATCCAACGGGTTTCGGAGCTGATTCGCGCTGAGAAGTGCATGGAGCGTGGGATGTCTGCAGAGGCCTCGGCCTCAGGTGCCAAGTCAAAGAGGCCTAGGAGATGAGACTGCAGCGTAGATCAAAACCGAGCCACGAATGCTTGCAAAACTCGGATATTCCGCCCGCAGGCTGCCTTCGATGCTGTCGCCCCACGGGATCTTACGCCAGTAGGCGTCGGGTAGACGAGTTGTGCGGTTTCAGACGCATCTTCTCTCAGCATTGGTTGTCGATGGGATACTTTCCTTTCCGGCTCGCGTGCATCAAGTGAGAAGCTTGCATGCAAAGTCTGAAATTCAAGCCCTTGTGTTGACTGTTGGCCCCAGAAGGTGCAGAAGACGAGGACCGCATCTTCTGGAACAGCCGGCTGAGAGCATCCTCGGATAATCTGCACTACACGGGGGACACAGCCATGCCTAGATATTTGCTGCCCGCAGCTTCCAGAAACTGCTTGATCCCGTCGTGCAGGAGTATCCTGGTGTGGACGTTTGGGCACATGTGGGAGACCAGCTTGGCGACGCTTGGCCATGAACTGAAGCCTTTTGATGCTGCGAGCGTTGCAGTTTGCTGTTTCACCGGTTCATTCACCCTAGGCCCAAAACACCCGATAACACTAGAGCCGACACCTTGGAGCCCATGGTGCAAGTCGCTACCCAGGGCGTCCAAGGGATGGGTCTAGAGAGAGAGAGGGTGACAGACAGACAGAGAGAAAGGAGTCACAACACTCGTGTTCACTCCCTCCTAAAACCCTGCGAAATGCGGGCGGGCTGAATGCTGGGAGTGCTTGACACGTCCTCTACGCCCTACCTGGGAGAAGAAGAGTGTCTGTGTGTGTGTGTAACTCCTGCTACCAAGGATTTTCAAGCAGTATTGTGCACTTGCAGTCAGCAGGGGGATCAGGCTTCCAGTGACTGACCTGATCCAACGAAGCTAGGTCAAAGCTCAGATTGGAGACCTGCACATGTGTGTGCTGCCTTTTGGCTGTCTGAAACGAGAGACAGGGCGCCAGTGCTCGACACAAACAGCACATGCTGTAGACATAATCCTGAATTCTGCAGACGTACACAGACAGCGACACCAATACTGTGTCCACTTTTCAACCTGAAGAAGCGCAGTCGAATCGTTTTTGAGAGGGACGAGTAACGAGTCATGGATGTTTGCACATAGTGACATAGTGTGAGTTGTGCGTTCGACCCTTCGTGCATCTTGTACTTAGATCCGCATGACGCTAAACTCAGCCCGCAACCCTAATCCCTCAAGATGTGCATGCCACAGCCCGGCGAAGGAGATGCTCCAGGGCTACGTGTCACATGCCAGCCTCGATGAAGTGAAGGCCCGGGTCTACCGCGACTTGTGGCATTTGCGATATTCGGGTAGTAGGGTTTAGGAAAGTAGGATGTTTGGGCAGCGGGTTTTGGGTTTAGGTTACTTTTTGGGGAACCTGGCCCGGTGAGCTCCAATCAAGCCTGTGCAAAAGGGTCACTTTCTGCTGACTCGTCTTGTTGTAAAGGCATATAATTGGACAAACCTGATCAGCAAGAACCTATGTATCTACTTATGCATGGTGAAGGCTACAACGGTCTCTCATCTCTCCTTCTCTCTCAGTCTTCCTCCTCCCTCCCTCCCCCATTCATAGATGTACGCATATTCATCTTTTACGCAGATGCCACACGTACATACATGTAAACACAGACGCAGAATAGATGTGTGTGTATAAAAATACATATACATATCTACACATGTATATGTATACGTACATGTATACATGTATACATATACATACACTCATACATATACATATGCATATACATACACGTATACGTATATGAATAATTACGTATACACATACATACATACATACATACAGATATATATATATATATACATATATATATGTGTGTGTATATGCATACACATATGAACGCAATAGGCATATGGACATACAGACACGCACACACAATTATTCCAAAGCCAGGGCTTTCTTAATTAGGGCATCGAAACCTGGGCTGCTTTCATGTCAACCTAGCCTTGCTCGGCAAGCGTTAGAAGCCTTGGAAGTCGCCCTTCAAGTATTCGACATACCTCACAGCCAACCGATTTGGTCATCTCCGACCTCAAGCCAATCCATGAACCATGCAAGGCATGCTGGGCCTCGATCAACACAGAAAGGCTTCAATCTGACCGAGAGGGCCTGGAAAGCATGTCCAGCCCCCTGAGCCCGACCCGAGCTCTCCGACGTACTCCCTTTTACGAGGTTCGGGTTGGCAGAGCGCTTATGGCCTCCTCCATATCGGGATGTTTCGAAATTGCAGCGCCATTCCTGAAGGCCCGTTGCCCGGTAAGGCTGATGGCATTGTGAACGAGATTCCGGGCTTCAGGAAGTGGGCTCCGGGGCGGGACGAGTTGAGCTTTGAGGGTCCAGCGAACGATTTGAGAAAAGCATGGCAGTGGCCGTAGTGGTGGTAATGCCAGCAGTAGAATTGCTTGGAGTAGTAGGGGCACTTGGTAGCTGTCGTCGTGGTGGTGGTAGTAAGACCATATAGAATTGTAACTGTAGTAGCATCTGGTAACAGTCACGGTCTTCGCAAGAGCAGTGGCAGTAGTGATGATGAGGCTGTTACGCAAATGATGATGATGATGATGATGATGATGAAAGTACTGGCCAGAAGCTTTGCCGTTACAATTCCACCGACGCCTTTGCGGCCATCATCATCATCATCACTTTCACCACCATCATCTAAATCATCATCGCCAGCATTCACCATCACCACATAATCATTGTCAACTTACTGTCATCATGGAGGAAGGCCACTGACAATCTAGGCTAGACCTCACCCTTGGATACCTGCTAATGCCAGAGGCACCTCCCATTGCGGCTGAAGTCAAAGGGACCCAGGCCTGTTGTAGTGGTGCTGTGGTTCACGAATAGATGTGCCGCGGTGTTCGGAAGGCTGTGCACATGAGATTGACATGGCCGGGGGGATGTCTCAGTTTGGGACGTCATGCGCAGTGCTCCGTGAAAGGACGCTACGATTCCCTTCAAACACCTCCCATCGGTCGGAACTAACCTTTTGCCGCTACCACTACCGCTGCGCAACTTGGAGGACATAGGGACTTGGAGGGTTTGGGGGCTTAGCTGCTTCGTGCTCCACGTTCTTTACCAGCCGCGTTTCGTGGTGCTTTTGCGAGGAAGAGGAGCGAGAAAAGCAAAAGGCAGAGGCAGCCGCGAGAATCCAGGCCAGGTGTCCTGACGTCCGTGTGGGGCGACCCGGGCCATCGCAGATCCATCTTCGTCTGGCCTGTAGTGCCGGCCTAGCAGACCCTGGTCAGCTGCGATGTGAGTATGAATTCCCTGTTTCATCACCTGTTCAACCGAGATGTGCTTGCTGCCATGCAGAACTCAAGCAAAGATCCGCATGCTTGCAGACATCAGCCGTTACTTCACAGGCTCCAAAACATCGAGCACATGCAGCGGGATGGACACGTAGAGCAACAGAAGAGGTTTCGAATTCCATCATAACAGAATTCCTCCGATGGGATGGCTCCTGGCATCGACTTCACTCGATTGAAGGAGGTACCTGCGGACGCTCCGCCCTGGATCTTCGTTTTCGACGTGTGCCTGCAACGGCCTGTCGACAGGGCGCCCGACCCACCGAAGCCGAAACGGAAGAAAAGGAAAAGGACGCAGGAGCCACCCCCAAAGGCCCCAAGCGACCACGGTTCCTCGGGCTCTGAAGTGGAGGAAGGCCTTGAGTATGTGCTTCAGCAGGCAGAGAAGGGTCGCTCCGCCATCGTCTCACTTTGGAAGCAAGGCAATACAGGTACGAAGAAGAAGGCTGTTCCGCGCACTGTCCCTGAAAACCTAGGGCTGAAGGTCTTTGAGCTAAATTTCCGAAACTGGCTGGCGAACAACGCCCTGGCAGAGTTTTTGGATCGTGATGCAAGCAAGGATCCTCCAGCATCTCAGGGCAATCCGGCCCTTCCTTTCCTCTACTACAGGTATAAGCCTTCGTGCTTACCGGAGAATGCGCAGATACAGCCGGGCGAGGGGTGGAAGCAGGCATATCATGGAACCTGGTTTTATGGACTGCGTAGCATCTTGCATTACGGGGTGTTGCTGGAGTCTTGGGACAAGGAGAAAGGCCACAAATTTACGCGTCCAGGACTCTACTTGGCATCATGCTTGGCCTCGTCGGTCTGGTATGCGAGACCACATGACCTGTTCAAGGATGGGATGTTCCATCGGGTCATCATCGAAGTCCTCTACGATGAGTCGAAAGTGCTAGCAAAGCTAGGGAAAGCTGGCAAAACGCTTGTTATCAAAAGCGAGGCGGTTGCGATCACTGGGGTTATCATCCAGCCGAACTCTCCTCCTTACGGCGGCGAGGAACGTTGTGAGGATTGGGACGACTCGCTCCAGATTCTGCCCCGACCCCGCCTTTGCACTCGCCGTCCCCGCCAGCGTCGCGCCCGCAAGCAGCTGTCCGAGGCTGAGCGGGAGGCGCAAGAGAAAGCAGAGCGTGAGCAAGCCAAGCGTGACCGCGAGGCTCAGCGCATCCGCATGCAGCAAGATCGCCAGGCTTGGCGCGAGCACAATGCCGAGTGGGAGCGAGAAGCTTGGCGGGAACGTGATGAGCAGCGTGAGCGTGCAATGTTGGAGGAGCAAGATCGCGGTTCTTTGTCCGCTTCTCGTGACTTTGCTCCTTTCAACGCTTTCGGACGCTCTCCTTCGCCTCGCCAGAGTCGAAGTCGGAGGATGAGGTCAAGTCTCTCGGAGAGCCCAGCTGCTTCGAGGGAACCTGAAAAGAAGTGATTTGCTTGTTATGCAATGTCATCTCTTACCACCATGTACCTGGCAGAAGTAGGAGGGTTCGGAGTGGAATGTTCCATCGGATTCTATCATCTGCTTGTCACAGGTCTAGACTGTTTGCGCGATCTTTCGGAGGTGGTGTTTCCCTTATGCCGAGAGCCTTTAGCAACAGCAACAACTGCCATCCTTTAGTAGCTATCGGTTATCGTCGTGGCATGGAGAGGTAGGCGAAAGTCCGAAAGTGCTTATCGTATCATATCATATCATATCATATATTATCATATTACATTATATCATTTTGCAGTATATCATATTTAACTGTCTTTACTCCATTATATTATACATAGTATCATTATTACATCATGCTAGTATATTATACCATTATGTTCTGGCATTAGCTCGGCAGGCCATCCAGCGCGGTCGGGCGCAGCGGGCCGAGGCCAAGGCGAAGGCCAAAGCCAAGGCCCCGGCCAAAGCCCTGCCGACGGAAGAGGCCGGGAAATTTAGGGTTTAGGGGTTTTGGGGTTTCGGGTTTGGGGGTTTCGGGGCTTAGGGTTTAGGGGTTTCGGGTTATGGGGTTTAGGAGTTCACAGAGACCTCGTTCAAAAAGGGTTTAGGGTTTAGGGTTGGATGTAAAACGGGTTGGATGTAATGCATTTGCTCTTGAAAGTAGCAATAAGTAATAATAAATAATAGTAGAAGCAAGTATTTTTTGTAGTTCAATAGCAAACACGCTCACAAGCGCCAGGCGCTCCAGCGCACTCCGGGCCTCACATCTCAAGTTCTGAATTCAGTTTCTCACTAAAAGGCTGCAGTAGGCAACTTGTAGGCAAACAGAAGTCGCGGCGGAGATGCCTGACACTGGAGCCTGGAGCCAATACAGCTCTCGTACAAGACTGCCGTTGCCCTACTGCTGCTGGCAACCCATGCTGCTGCGATGACTCTTGCCACGACGATGGCCGGGAGACGACGCGGCGGCAGCAACACTAGTCACTAGTACTGAGTACAGATCGCATCCTCACGCCTTGTTTCTTGAACGCACCCGGCTCATTTTCTTCGTCGTCTATTTCTCGTGCTGATTTTGTTCGACTGAAACATTCGAACTTGTGACAGTTCTGTCGGTTGTTGCTGCCGTTGCCGTGGTTCTCGCCATCGCGGTTGTCCCTACGTGGTTGTCCCCACGTTATTTTGCTATTGGGTAAAAACGTTGGTGTTGTCATACGATGCTACTTGTATTGTTACTTTTTTTGCAGAAATTCCAAGCGACGCTGACCATGACGATGCCGATTGTGACGATGGTGCGTCTGCTGCCTACCTACTTGTTGTTCGCTTTGCAGACCTGTCTGCCTGTACGTGCTTCTGATGTTGTTCACATGGCGTGCGCGTGTCTGTTCCTGTTGTGGTTGCTGTTGTGCTTGTGCTTGTGGTTGATGTTGTGGTTGTGCTTGTGGTTGTGGTTGCTGTTGTGGTTGTGGTTGTGGGTGTTTATTGTTGTTGTTGTTGTTGTTGTTGTTGTTGCTACTGCTGCTGTTGTTGTTGTTGTTCTTCTTCTTCTTGCCATTTGGTTTGCCGGCTTCCACCGAAGTGTTTACATCATTATGTAACACAATGCAAGGTTTTCGCGATTCTCGCATTCCGCAAGCGGGCAGTACCAGGTCATTCGTAACCGAACCCATGCCCAGTGCGCAACGTTCGTGGTATAGCATTCATGGCCTGCAGATGTTGATGCCGCATGATGCCGCGTTCTTGTCATTTCTGTTGATCGTTGCCTTGCGGTCTTGCATCAGCATTCCTCCTGAGTACGGTGCTGTGGGCCTCTTTTGCCGCTAGATGATCAATCGGTCGGAAAGGTCTCAGTTCCGGGTTGATGTTAATCTCCCAACCGATGCTTGGTTGTACTTTGCAATGAGACTTTCTGATCAGCGACCCCGGTGGACATGCTGGCGGCTGCGAAAGCAAAAGCACGAGCAGTCTCCAAAGTACAGGCGCAGACTCGCAGCTCACTCTTCCCAACAGCCCTGTTTGGTATCGTTGCACCCACCCGATTGCTTCTCCGTCACATGGGACTCCCTTGATGGCTTGCACCTCTCCAGCCTCACGGTCCGTAAACCTCTACAAAAGCACATCAAATTGTGTAGGCCAAAAGGCCGTCGCTACTGTATGCGTTAGAATGCGTTAGTTAGAATGCGTTATATTCTAGCTGCGTGCTTGTTGCCTGTCATTCCTGGACGCCTTGGCCCTGTCAGTAATGCATTGCAAAGGCATGGTGAGCCCTCTTATCTTTGCCGTGAATGCTCGCCATCGCTACGGTGTGCATAGACACGGCAGGGTCGGGTGTTGCCGAAGCTTATCCTCTGTCCGAGTCTGAGCGCCGAAACCCTAAACTGCGCCCTACACCCTCAGCGAACTGGAAAAAGGGTCGTGCAAAAAAAAGTACCCTAAACTCTACAGACTTGTGGCACTTGCGGTCATCGCATCTGCTTGGAGTTTGCACAGGAAATGGAACTGCGCAAGGCGCTGTTGCGAACAGCGCTGGAGGGTGCGCTGGAGGACGCTTTTCGGTACTTCGAGGTTCATGGGTAGTTACAGGTAGTATTGTACGTCCCTGATGCGGATTATAATTATAGTTATCCTACTTATCAGCCCACGTGTAGCTACCGATGAACCTCCAAGTAAGAAGCCCTGAGAACCACTGGCACTAAGGCGGGCACACGTTCTGACATATTTTTTTCTCGGGCTTCATGTTGTAAGTGTACATACCGTCAACTCGCCTGAGCAACGTGCGAAGATGGTGTCATGCCCGTCGAAGTCATACAAAGCTCTGCTGATTAGCCATCCCGAATCTTCTAAGCATACAAGAGACTGACCGAGTGACTTATGTCCTAAGCTGCAGCCAATAATACCGAAAAGACCCAGTAACTTGTTGGCTGCCAGGATGGTACACTAGAGCGCGTGCTGTCAGAGGCGAGGGGCACGTCCGCCATGGGTTGCCGAGTCTTGCGCTGACGGAGTGCAGATGTCGAATGTGATGGGACTTCGATTCAAGTGGGACTTTCCGATTATCCCCTCAATAGTAGAATCCTTATTATAAGGACCCCCAAATAAGGTACCCCTAATTTTGACAACCACCCAAGTGCCGTGCTTGGGGTCTGCAGGCGACTTACGGCACCGATGCGGATCAAAGCTCTCAGGCCAGCTTTTGCTTCCAGTTCAGTTTGCCTTACCTTTGGTTAATTAGCCCCCTAAAGGGATCTATAGGGTTCCTTAAATATTAAAGGGATCGAAAGGGTTCCCTAAAGGGATCTATGGAGTTTAGGGTTTAGGGTTTACTTACCTTTGGTTAGTAGGGAATGGAGGAAAGGGGTACAATTATGACTATTACTACCATTCTTCCATGCCCTACTAGCCAAAGGTAAGTTGCTTGGAGTGTGGGCTCACCCGGTCTAGGGTGACAAGCAACTAATACAGTGGCTGTGTAGTCCGTGCGTTCACTGTGGTTGTTGTTGAGGACAAGGAGGCTGCCTTTGAGAATCTTCGTCAGAGGCTAGCAAACGACCTGATGCTTGCAGCGGAAGATGGCCGACTTGAGCAGATCCTCACACGGCCAAAAGCCAACCAGACCGAGATGATTCGCAAGAAGATGGCAGAAAGCATGCTTGCTGCTGCTGAAGACGGCCGGTTGGAGCATGCGCTTGCTGAGGAGCAGAGGAAGCAAGATATGGAGCGAGTGCGGAAGGCAGCGGCCACGAGCATTCTTGCAGCTGCAGAAGACGGGCGACTGGAGCGCACATTGAGCAATTCTGAGCAGAGAAAGCAAGACCTCGAGCGCGTACGGAAGGCCACTGCTGAGAGTATTCTTGCAGCCGCAGAGAACGGACGACTGGAGCGTACCTTGACTTCCGAGCAAAGAAGGCAAGACCTCGAGAGGGTGCGGAAGGCCGCGGCCGAGAGCATTCTTGCAGCTGCCGAGGATGGGCGACTGGAGCGCACGTTGAGTGGTGAGCAGAGAAGGCAGGACCTGGAGCGGGTTCGGAAGGCAACGGCCGAGAGTATCCTTGCAGCTGCAGAGGACGGGCGGCTTGGACAAGCTCTGACGGTAGAGAGGAAAAAGAAAGATATCGAGATGGTGCGGCAGAAAGCAGGAGCAACTTTGTTGGCTGCTGCCGAAAGCGGCAGACTCGAAGTCGTGCTGGCGCAGAGGGGCGAGGAAGTGGAGCTGGGTCGAGTTCGCAAGAAGATTGCTGATGGCCTGCTTCTTGCAGCCGATGACGGAACTCTTGAAGAAGCACTGGCCCGAACCATGCAAAAGTCAAGCGACCAGCACATGGAGGACCGCTTGTCACAGCTCCCAACAGCAAGAGACATGCTTCGCAAGACGAGTGATGCTTTAATTTTCTGTCTAGCTCTTTTGCACAGGACATCCGCAGCCGCATGGCCACGAGCTTGCTGGAAGCAGTGGAGAATGGCAGCTTGGAGCTTGCCTTAGAGGAGTCCGGACAAGTCGGCAAAGGACCTTTGCAGGACACTACATCTACAGCCCTCACAGGCCTGCCTTCCGACATGCAGCACACAGGCATCGTGGCTTTGGCAAATCAGACGGCCAAAAGTCACTTGGCCGGAGCACGGGAGGAAGTGCCTCATGGTGCCGCTGCGGTTCAGCGGGCCTTGATGCAGTACGAAAGAAGGACCTTGCCTCGGAGTCATGGCAGTCAGTGTCAGGGCACCTGAAGCATTGCGAAACATGTCCCCCTGTCCTGACAGCTGCGGAAACTTGCCAGTCAGTGAAAGCCACACCATCCCATCATCCCGTTTCTGCAGGATAGGAACCCTCACGGCAGCTGTGCAGCAGGCCGAGGGATGCGGGTGCTCCGTCTCAGCAGTGTTGCAGTCGCGTGAGACTCAAGGTGTCACCAGTCCACAAACCAACAAGGCAATTGGCCGGACATGTCCGCGAGGCTTGAGACTCCACACCGCCAGTTGGCACAAAACGTCTACGGCTCAAGCTGCTTTTAAGTAGTCACCCGGAGTCACATGTGCAGACGGGTAGCCACAGGCCGTAGCACGGCGCGTGCTTCGGCAGTCTGCCCATTGAGTGAGGTCTGCCTGGTTGCCATGTCACGATGATGCTGTCGACGACATCTGGGATGCTTGCCGAACGTGGTGGTGTTGGCTTCACATTGCATCGGTCAGAGACAGTCGCCCAGTCCGCTGGGCAGTTGGATCGCAAGAACTCTGCAGCATCATCGCGGGCTCGGGGACGATCGTCAGGCTTTGCTTGCAAGCACAATGTGGGCTACAAGCCCTTGGGCGCCCCGGTGACACCGGAAAGAGTCGTCGAGATGCAGAACTCATCCTTCGCCAACATGGAAAAGATCCAGCAGTCTGTTGGGCAGGATGCCAGCTCACATCAGGAGAAGAAAGACAAAGAGCGCACACGCCGCAAGGAACAAAAAGTGGAGCAAGCTCGAAGTCTGCCGGATTCAAGAGATTTCAAAGATGAGGAGGCTGCCGCAGAAGGTTTGGAGGCCGACTCCACTGGGATGCAAAGCCTTTCCCACCTTCCTCATGCACTCTACGGGAAAGACTTGCCCCGTTGTGGACAAGCCCATGAACGGCAAGAAAAAGATGGCTTCAAGGAGTTGAAAGTACACATAAGAAGCTCATATCGAAGGGTGGAGCTTGTGAGGATTGATGCAGATGCTGCCTACGCGGCTAGGAGCGACAATGCGAAGTTGGCGCTTGCAACCTCGAGACACTGGGCAGATGATGCTGGGAGTGTGTTCCTGACATCCCTCGAGGCTCCTCAGTCGGCACGGGGGGCCCATCGCCCAGAGCCCCATCAGCCCCCTGGAGCTCTCTCAGCGAGAAGAGCAAAGCGGGCGACGTGGTTGCCATCCCTGTCGGAATACTTGGCGAATGGTGCTGGGCTCCCGGCATCTGGAGAGCGGGCAGAACTTGCGGACGTGGGAACAACCCACAAGATCGCCTCAGAGCTTCTTCCCTTGCCAAAAGGCACACGGCCGAACTATGGCAGCCTATTTCTGCTTGACGAGGGCAAAGCTGGTTCCAAAGATTTCAAGGACCGGTTGAAGGAGCACCGAAAACTCTGGGAAAAGGATCTTGCTGGTGCATGGAAGGAGAAGGCATTTTACCAACGGTGCCAACCTTTTGTTGCACCAAAAGATGCCGAGGAGATGCGCCAGCGCTGCCACGGCAACGATTACATGCAGGCTGCCATTGAGCGCCACGTGAAAGATTTGGAACGCCACCTCAAAGACTCCGGCCTTGAAACGCCACGGGGAGCCAACGATGAGCCGAAGGGCCTTATACCGGCTATAGCGATCAAAGTGGAAGTCGATGCAAATGGTATGCCGGGCCCATCCGCACCTACAAGCCCAGCACAGGATGCCACGCAGGACAAGCGTCGAGCTGGTGATGCTGATGACGATCAGCGGACAAGTGAACCGGTGAAGCTCGTAGCTGCTCGCTCACGAACTCATGCGATTCATCAGAAGGCCCTCGCTCAGCTGCGTGAGCCAGATCGGCAGAAGAATTCGCTGATCCTTCGGCAACAACTGAAGGAATACCAGGAGAAGCGTGACGAGGCACGCAAGACCTTGCAGGAGACTCTGGAAAGCCAAGCGGAGTCCAGGATGGAGTCCCTCGAAGCCCCGAAGAGGAAGTCCTTGGTGTCTGACGTCGAGAGCAGTGATGGCCAACAGCATCATTGGTACCGCTCACTTCTTGAACAAATCCGGACAGAGCTGGCGACAGCAGATGTTCCAAAGGCGATGTACGTGTTGCTGGACTCGGTGAAGACAGTTCTAGACGAAGGAGATGAATTTGAAGCCGACGACTTCTGGCAGTGCATCTCTCAGCTGCGGGCTGACGATGTGACTTTTGCCATGGCGTCCCTGCTAGGATCAGTAATTCATGGCGTGGGTGGTTTGACTGGCCCTTCAGTGGTGCGAGCTCTACAGCAGCAGTGTGGCAACTTGAATCCGGGGGTAGCCGAGGTGCTAAACGCACAGTAGCTCGATTTTAAGTGAGATTTATTTAGGCATGATGCCGACTAAAAGCTGGTGGACTTTGCCAGCTTGCCCTTTGCTTATCTGGTACTGTTAGAGTCGCGTCCAGGCATGTGGCGAACGCCAACCATGTGAGTCGCGGTTTCACTTTGCATGCCGTGCCTCTGCCCATGATGTTCGTGCCAATCTTGCTCAACCCTTTCTCTTCTCTTCTCGCGGGGGTGCTGCATGCAGCCACAGGAATCGTGCCCGAATATCGCGCACTCCAATCCGTCGATCTCCGCGCAAAGCGCAGAGCTGTTCCAACCCATAGCTTAGAGGTGAAAGGCTGGCGCGATCGAGGGTCATTCTCGCTTCAAGCAGACTTTTAAAACGGTTGACCTTTACCTGCATCATCCCAGTGGTGAGTAACTAGCAATAGTATCCCCTCAAACTCCCGACATCGACTCAACAACAGCAGTAACTATTCAATAGTATGCCCCCCCAGCGCAATTTTGCTTCCTAAGATACCCCTATATAACATACCCAAATCCGATTGAAATTCGCAGGTCTAAACTTTCTTTTTTACGCGCTTCCTTGGGCAGGCCGAGCGCGGCGTCCTGGAACGCATGGCTGAAGCCAATTCTCTGGAGGCTCCGGAGTGCACTAGTAGTAATAGTTACATGAAGAGTAGTAGTGATGTGAACAAAAATGTTAGTATGGTGAATGAGAATTAGGCTTTCAGGACATATTGTAGCTTCTAGTCTTATAGAACATGTATTTAGGGAGTCGAAGTAAATGATCGGCGTGATGAAGATGGCGATGGTGTTGACAAAGATTATTTTCATTTTCCTGATGGGGGTTGACGATGGTGGTGGTGATGTTGGTGGTGTTGGTGGTGGTAGCCATGGTCGTGACGACTGTGATAATGCTGGCCCTAGTGATAAAGTTATGTTTCTGGCCACGATAGTGATGACGACGAGGATGACGACGTTTGGCCACACCTAGCTTGTGCCATTTTGGGACCACATGGAACCCCAAACACAGTTTCGACATGTTTCGACACATGCGACTGAATCAGCATGAGTGACGATGACGGTGATGATGATGCTGATGACGACCATTGTAGTAAGTAAGATGAGCAAGATGCTGCGACATTTTGGCCAGCACACCCATGGTGGCAAGGAAGAAGATAATGGTGATAAGACGACGGTGATGATGATGCTTGTGGTGATTATGCTCATGATGCCAGTGATGGCTCTGCTGCTGCTCATGTTGCTGTTGGTGATGGTGTTGACGACCGCCAGACCAGGTCAAATCATGACGAAAGCCTGCTCGTGGTGATGATGGCGCAATTGAGGTTGGGTGGACGATAGGCTTGTAGGTTCGCAGTACGTTATTGATGCCGATGCTCCTGGCGACGGTTGTGACGTGCCCAGTGGGGCGAAGATGCTCGTGACGAGGAGTGGTGCTGAACTGCTACCGACGACGAAGCCAGCATGCCAGCGGATTGACAACACTGCCCAGGACCGCAACCACTACCACGACCACTGCTGCTGCTGCTGCTCCTGCTCCAACTACTACTCCTACCCTTCCTCTCACTCCTACATACTCCTCCTCTTCTTCCTCCTCCTACTACTGCTACGACGGCGACTACTATGCTACAACTGCCGTGCTGCTGCAGCTGTTGCTACTGCTGCTGCTACGACGACGACTACTACTACTGCAGCTACGGCTATTGCAACTACTGCTGCTACTCCTGCTGCTGCTACTGCTACCACAACTGCTACTGCTGATTATTGCCGCTATTGCTGCTGCTGCTACTGCTGTTACAACGACAAGGACTACTACTGGTATTAATGCTAGTCGTAGTACTAGCGCTAGTACTGCTGCTTCGGCTGCTACGGCTACTGCCCAGACCGCGGCTGATGCCCTCTACTGCTACTGCTACCGCTACAGCCGCTACGACTGCTCATGCTTTTGTTTCTGCCACGACCAGTGCTGCCACGACTAGTACTCGCTGCTGCGACTTTCAGCACCACATGCGCTGCTGCTTCTGCTGCAGCCGCTGAATTTCCACTGCCACTGGCTCTACCAGCATGGAACGCTATCAATGATGCAACCATGGGCCCATCCCAGGTCGCCGTCGCCGAAGCCAAAGCTAAGCTGCGGATGCTGACCCAGGATCTGCACGCCTCGAGCGCAGTTTGACACGTAGCGGCCTAGAGCGGTGGGTTTAGATCGAATGTAGATCGCAACTTTCGTAGCCTATGTTGGAGGAGACGCACTGCTTGCGTGGGCAAGATAAAGCGTTGACAAGACAAAGCAATCGTGCCTCTACTTAAGAATCAGGTGGCTTGGTAACTAGGGTTATTCTTAGGGTAATGGTACTTATAACCTTACCCACTAAGTCCCATGATCCTCCAAGCACTGGAGGAGGGCGACAGCCAGAAGAAGCTGCTTGAAGCCGAGGCACAAGCTGTTTTTTTCAGCGTCGCTGCCGAAAGGGAGGCTTACTGAAGGTGTGGTTTCAAGTTCTACCGTAGGAACGACCAGAGACTTGCGAAGCAAACCATTTTGTGATTTCGCGGTGTACCTGGAGCATGCGAGTTAGAGTCTGGGTAGTCAGCACCCAGACCCGGATCCCCGAATGGGCGTGCAGCTTGGCAACCCAGGTCAAAGATGAATAGCCGAACAGATAGTGACAGTGATTCTAGCAGTGGCTCCAGAAGCTTGTCAACATCAACGGCTCTCAATGGGCTCCTGGACTTACTGTGTGGCTAACCCGACTCCGGAGTTGAAATCGACCGATCATGGCTGCAGATGGTACTTTGGGCTACCACTGTCGGTTCTTGTCAGTTTGGCATCCCATCTGCTGCAGGAGCTTCGAACCTTGCGGCTGCAGGACGGGACCCGAGGGATTACAGAGATCATGTCGTAGACCAACAGACAGCACAGAATGGCAGCACACGGCTTGACTTTGTAGCGTCAACATAGAGACGAGTGTGTTCGACGCGAAGTAACTCAGCCACAGACCAGGCTGGGGTGTCTTGGGCTGGTAGGTAGGCAGTGTTGCACGTCATCGCATGCCTGTGAGCACAATATTTATTCTTGGTTCTCCGATGCATCTGCGCTGCAGTTCCACCAATTTGCAAGAGCAGGTGATGTGGGAGCCAAGACGTCGCGACTTCTCGTAGGATAGTAAAAGGCTCAAGCAGGACTGAAACCGCGGAAGCATGCGCCAGAAAAGCTGCGAATCCAGTGCAGGAAGAACACATGGCCAGGTAGACAGAGAGATTAAAGGAGACCCTGATGCTAGTCTTGTGCCAATGTGCAAGGGGTTGAAGTGCTGACGAGCAGTTATCTGGCCTGATTCGTCGAGAGCGAGTGACAAAAATGAGACCCTGCAAGACTGCAAAAAACCCATTCCTTCAGCACGGAACAGCTTGCAACCACTACTTGCTTGCTTGTGGCAATACTACGTGTAGCGACATGGTAGCACGGGTCCGGTACGGCATCTTGACAAGCGTTCGAACACTGTAGTCCTTGGGCGACCAAAGGCAGGACTCCCAGAAGGAACGCCGGCATCAGATGACCTAAACCCTCGACTCCCTGCACGATCGCCAGTCATGCGTAGTGGTGGTCGATGACGCAATCCTCTAGAGATTCGCTCACGGGAAGCTCTCACAGGATGGCCAACGGCAGCTCATGGACGAGCTGGCCACTTCGGCTAATCAGAAGGGTTATGGGCTTGGTTTGGTGTTCAGGGGGCACTGGGCGAGCTGTGTAGCCATGAGTGTCAAGCAATTTGTGAAACCTTTGTTGTTCTGTGTGCGGGGCAGTGCTGCCAAAGCGTGCTTGCAATCCTCCAACCTCCCCAGACCTGCATGCAAGACCTGGTTGGCAGGCACTATCAAGAGATTTCGGCAGAGATGTCGTTCTGTCCGCCCCTTTTCCTTGCCTTCGTTTCAAGGATTTCGTGTACCTCAAGCAGAGACATGCGCAGCTGGAGCTGGACTTGAGTTCAAACGCATATACCATCCCGGAAGTAACCAATCAGTGACCTCTGCGACCTTCCGGTTACTCGAAAGTCCCAATCGGACGATGGGCTCCTATCATAGTGTAAGGCAGAAGGCTAAGGGTGGCAGCTGGGTAACCACGTCCACAAATGCGTGCATTTGTGTCTGGCTGCGCCTGCCCAGCGCCGAACTCCGGCGCTGTGTCAGCGTGTAGCAGCGTGCACATGAAGTAGAGACTTGAGCCCATTCCTAGGGAGATAAACACGTGTCGTTGGCCGCCGCCCAAAGTTCTAAAGCTCTACCCTAACGGGCCACTAAACGACCATAGAAGGCTAGGGCCCCTGGGCCCTGGCAACAGGTTCAGTGCGAAACGGGGTGTGGTGGCAGGCACTGGCCAGAGCTTGGGCTCCTAATTTCCCGCAGGACATCCCTGGGTGAACGGCCCGGGAACCTGCAGAAGGTCTCACTTCCATGCTTGTCGACAGCGTATGCAGCAGCCTCTCGAAGAGAGGAGGGCCATTGGAAGAACCAGTGGTCCGAAGAGTTGCTGCTGGCCCCAGAGGAAAACAGGGTTTAGGGTGTGGGCATTAATTAGGGTTGAGGGTCCGGCTCTGGGGTATTCGAGTGACTTCGTGTTAATCATACGGTCAACAATTCGGAACAAGCCAGGGTTGCAAGTAGCCAGAAAAGTGCCTCAACCTACTCACAGAGACACCCCTCAACCCCAGACCCTGCATGGCAAGAGTTGCGAGCCGCAGCTGTGAACTCGAAGCCATGTGGCTCACAGGACATGGCGTAAGCCATCGGGTGTCGCCTGAGGCAATACCGCCGCGAGTCGGTTGCCTCAGGCAGACTGGAGCTCGGGGCTGGGAGTGGTTTGGAGGAAGCAGGTGCTGAAGGTTACGTGTGTAATGTTTCACAATGTCATATGATGTCGTGCTAATGTACTGCTATCTAGTACCATTACTGTGTAGTGGAATGCTATTTGATGTCAGGCAGCGTTACGTGATCTTCTTGGTGTCGTGCTATGTAGCATTGTTATGTAAGGCTGTGTAATGTTCCGCACGTTTGTGTAAGGCAATGCTTTGACATGCTATGCAATGATGTGCAATGCTATGTTTTGTCATGCAATGTTCCGCATTGTTAAAACATGTTGTGTAGTGAAATTCAGTGGGCTGTAAGTCAATGCTGTGTAATGGCATGTAACGGTTCTTCGTATTACGTATTGCCATGTAAGGTCATCCAATGCTATGCAGTGTTATGTAACGAGTGTAATGTTAAGCCATGTAACGTAACGGTCTGTAATTTTAGGCATTGTCTGCATGCTGCATGCATGGATGTATGTGTACAGGTAAATGGTAGGTAGATAGGGCAAGGGATCCAACAAAGAGCCGTTTTCAGCTTCGGGAAGTCAAGGCATGCTTCGAGACGCCTCAACCCAAAAAGCCTTACTATCCCTTACTCATTCCGGCTACTGTGCACAGGAGGGTCACATTCTGGGTTGCTGTAGGAAAGGGTACTGAATTCGCCCACCGATAGCCCCGAGCACTTCCACGCGCGACCCTCGAAGGTTTTCAATGAAGCAAAATGCCTTGCTGGGCCTTCTTGGGATCGTCCTGCTCCTGCCTTGCGCCACGGCGAGGTGGGCCTGTAGAGATTGTAGAGCTGAAGACACGGGCAGATACTTGTAGAGGTTGAGGTTGCTTTTCAAGTGTTCTTTGATATCCTCGGTGTACTTCAGAAGAGGTAGGAGAAGTTTGTCGCTTCGCAATTTGGTGTGTTGGTGCTGCTGCTGGAATGGCAATTTTCGGCCATGCATGACTGCCTGAAGGCCTGCCAGCGTATTTCAAAAATCATCAGCTGAACCTTTTTGCTCGTCGATTGCGGTCAGTGCCTTGACGGTGAAGCAACATGATACATGCAGAACGGGGCAGATATGCCACGTCAGATCATAGACTTAACGAATGCCTTAGATACGTGGTCAAGCCCAGGGAAAGTGAATGCTCCTATACCTTGGAGCCGGGCCTCGGAGTTCTTACCATTGGGGGTTCCGAGAATTGGGGTTTAGGGTTTAGGGTTTAGGGTTTAGGGTGGGCTACGAGTTTCGTGGGCGCTGGCCGGCACCTCAGTCCGTGCTGAAAAAGGGTTTAGGGTGAGGCGGCCATTGTAAGATTCTCTGTTGCCTCGGGGTCCAAGCCGAAACTAAACACGCTCGAAGCTCGGGGAAGCCCTGAAGGAAGTTAGGCTCCACGAGCACGGCCCTGCAAGCCTCCGGCTGAAGCCTCAGGAGCCTGGGAGTAGAACAGATGTGGAATGCAAGGCATGTGTGTGTATATATATATATATATATATATATATATATGTATGTAGTACATGTTTATATACATGTATATATATATATATATATATATATGTATATACGTATATACACATGTGTCTGTGGTGTGTGTATGTGCAAAAAATGTAAATGTATACGCTGTGGTTCGTCCGAGTGCGAGTGCTGAAATGTATACGTGTGCATGCAGTAGCTACAGTGCTTAAGTAGGTATCCTGTGCCATGGTGCATGTATGTCTACATATATATATATATACAGATATGTACATACACACATTCATAGACTGTTATCAACCCATACGCTTACACCTACAAGAACGCACACACACATACACATATATATATATATATATATATACATACATGTACATAGACATATATGCGTCTAGGTATGAGGCATTGACTTTTGTGGTGGTGTGCGTGTGTGCGTGTCTTGTGTCGTGTTTTGACCTTGCTGTTGATAATGGAGGGATTGTGGTGATGATGACACTGACGAAGGCGATGTTGCTGGCGATGGTGGGCCAGGGTTGCTAGTCTGTTGTGATGAACGCCACTGTCTGTCGTGATCAACAGATGGTTGTTATTCTTGTCTATTTGGGTTGCTGTAGCTGCCTAAAAGCAGCAAATCACAAATCCAGCACTTTGCGTGTAGTTCCGTTGTGTTAGAGTTTTGTATACCCTTGTCCAGGGGTTGATGATGCTCAATGAGCCTGCTGCCAAAACTAAGTCTTAGTACACCGATTAGGCACGTCGAACAACACTACGACTGTCTGTGGCCACAAGCTTCGCCTAATGATTCAGGAAAATGTATGTTCGAAGCTCTGTGATGGAAAGCCTCAAAGCCACTCCCTGCACTTGCCTTTCCGGAATGTGTGGCTTTCCGAGCCGAAACCAACAGTGGCATCACGTACATGCAGAGGATCTGCTCAAACATCAAAATCACAAGCCTGTGCAGCCCAAGTTTGCCCAATAGTTTCTTGCCACTAGCTGCTGTTGCTTGCCTCTCAGCTCATTCATTACAAGACCTGCGTGGAAGCACTGAGGTTTAGCACGCGGTCACGAGGGGTCACGCGGTCCCCTGGACCTTGATGCGCTGGAGGTGGAAACCTTTCAGTGCTTGGCTAGGAGGTCTGGCTGTTTAGGGTGTGGACATGACGGGCCATGCAGCCGTGTTTGCGCGAAGGCATTTTGCGATGCTGACAGCTTCTGAACCGGTCTGTGGACTCCCGTGCAAGTGGAGGTGTCAGTTCTCCGGCTCACCAATGCGAGCGAAAGTTCGCGGTCATACCTCAAACCGATGATCGACAGCAGCCTGGCGCAACCTTTCAGTTGAAGGAGCGACGACGGTAGACAGCTCAATCGAATGTGCGTGATGAGGCATCCGTACGATGCTCGAGAAGGACCGCCCTCGAGCAAGGCTGTAGGCTTTACCCTCTTTTGACATTGCGTACCTCAGCACGCCGTACAGCCGGCTTGGAACGTCCCTCGTGCAGCCTCAATCAGAGTGTGACTGTGATAGGAGCTGATGCCAGATATCTCCAGGCAGTACAGCCGCCGGGTAAGCATTGGCATTGGAACTTAAAGTTTCCCGAAGCTGATGTCGCAGATACCTCCACAGCCGGCTAGATCCTTGGCCACCTTACCCTCGCCACAACAGTGTGCCACGAACATGGCAGCTGTTTCGAGAAATGCCAGCTTCACATGTTACCTCGTCAGTCCTCGAACTGTTTGTGCCCTCTCTGTGGGCAAGTCGGGTCGACCTTGTGTCACGTTGTTGTAATAAAATAGGGGCCTAAATAATTACCAATACTATTGTGGGGGTTGCTTATTATCACTATAGTATAGTGGCCCCCCCAAACCCTACGAAAAATTCTATTTATTAAGGCCCCTACAGCAGCCCTCAGGCCTGGCGCAGAAGATGTTGGACGATGCGGCCAAAGGCAATGGGGCTGGTTCTGGTAGTCCGTCTGTGCTTGGATGCTGCTCAAAGTCAGCTTGACCCCAACTCAGCGCAGAAAACGTGCAGACACAGAAAGCTACTAGAAGTGGTCCCTTCATCAGTGAGACAGGCTTCGCCGCATGCAAGGAGCCGTGGAATGCCACGCAGGCGCGAGCCCGGTCTAGTGGCTGTTGTTCGTTTTTTCGAGCATGCCAGGGTGTGAGTTCTTCCATTTGTTCTATTGATTCTCTTGGCTTCAAGTGGACATATGTATATACACATATGGACGTGTTTATGTGTGTATGCAGGTGTATGGAATTCTCTCTCCGTATATACGTTGTATGTATATACACGTATGTGTGTCTCTACGCCCTTGTGTTTATTTTCTTCGTAGTTGAGCTGGCAATACCAGGTGGTGCACCCGATGCCATGTGAGTCGGTTTGCATCGTAAAATGGGGGGGGGGGGTTCGGAGGTGACACCTGCAGCAATGCACACATGCACACACACACACACACAGACCCACAGGAGTTTCCAGACTATGTGCACATTCACATATGCATACCTACATGTGTTACAAGTCAGTGCACCCCGCAACATCTTCGGTCTGTTGCACGCGCTCCCGATGGTTCTCCCACACGATGTTCTGTTCCGTCGGGCAAGGCATCACTCTCCAGGCGCCAGTCGTTGGAATACTCGCATAGACACGGCTATGAGCTGTGATAAGATGGCAGGCTTTGTAAAGCACCACGCCATGGAACCTCGAAAATGCAACACCCTGGTAGAGCATTCTGCGATAAATCGCGCCCGCCTGCATGGCAATGCAAGAACTGTCCCCTACCAAAACCAACCTCCCTCCCCCCCGCCCCCCCCCCCCGTCCCAAAGGCCGAAATAAACACAAGCCGACAAAAGACCAAGCCTGAACTCCAGAGGTGGGGCAAGTCCGGGAGCAGCACCAGAGCTGCCGGAAGGAAGAGAGTAGCCTCGTCGTTGATGCGAGCCTGGGCTCTGCAGCAGGTTGGATATCGGAGGGACCACTCGAAATAGTAGGATGCTTGTTGCAAGGACCCTTGAAGAAGGTGCCCCTGCCTTTAGGAGGCGAAGGTCGCGTGTTGCAGCATGTCTAGGCACAGACTCAGCTGTGCCAAGGAATGACACCTGCGACGACGCTCAAGTCCTTGCGGAAGTCAGAGTAAAGAAGTGCGAGAAGATGAAAGGCTCGAGCCCGGCTTAAAACAAAATCTTGATGGCCTGTCACCCGCTCGCCAGGTGTCGATGCATATCCGCCGGAGGCCCCCGCAGTTTGTGACAAGGCCGGACATCTGGATCTATATCATACCTTTGGGTCTTTCCTGCTGTCAAGCAGCCGAACCGGGTAACCTAATGGAACTGGAGTGGTCAAGCATGAAGCTTCGCGCTGGGGGGAGCCTGGAGAGACCTGGAGGTGCAGATTAGCCTTCATCGAGGAACGCTATGTCCCGTGGTGTTATGGACAGAGGAAATACAAGTAAGTGTGAGTCTACCACATGTTCGCAGCAATGAGTAAAGATGCGTGTAGTAAACCCAACATCCCAAGCCAAGCCCTGACCTAGTCAGCTGAGCGGGTGGGGGAAACGCCCTGACCGTAAACCATGAATCATCATCAATAAACTTTGGAACCTCATCCGGTTGGCTCCGAGTTTGAGAGCTTTAGCCTTTGTGCTGCACGACACGAGACGTCTGCTTGGCCAGGACTCGAGCGACGTGTCCTACGAGGTCCACGCTCGGCGCATCCGGAACTTCTACATGCAGATGCTCGGCGAATGTGCACTTCTGCTGCTTACCCCCGCTATGTTTGGGTGTGTTGTAGAGTACAGCAGTACAGCAAAGCGGCAAGGTGAAGCAAACTGCATGGGGACTCCGCTTCCGACCATTCAGAATTCGAACCCAGAGACGATCCCCGTGAAATGTACAGTGCACACTAGTTTAGGATCTGTTTGCAAAGTGCTTAGTCACAGATTTTGCCTTACTCGGCTGCGGCGTGGAGCTGAGGAAAGTTCATGACGGGCGCTCAGTTGCTCCAGAGCGCTAGTGCATCATGCTTGGGCTTCAGGTCACGGTTTGCAGGTCGCGGATCTGAAGTCTTGCCAGCGTCGAGTTCTTCAGCTACGAATCTGCATGAATTTGTTACTTAAGGAGTGGGTCATGGCAGAAGAGGAGTGCACCAATGCCACGCAGAAGGCAACTGCAAGGAGCAAGACCTGCAAAGTTCGCAACGATGCCTGCAAGGATTAGTAAACGAGCTTTCACTTGGCTTTGTAGTTGTTGTGGGAAGGTGTCTCTGCGGAATTGGGGTAAGCTGTGTTTGTTGCCTGCCCACTCGAAGAGGTGATGGGAGGCCCTCAGGTGATAAGCCCAAGCTTTTGCATGAGTTTACCTGGCGTCTTGCTGAGGACGGCTGGAAAGACAAGCGCGCCTTGGCTATTTTTCAGGGAACCGGGAAGCCTGTTGGACTCATTCCCGCGATGTGCCATCTTCCTGTACCGCTGTGGATACACAAACAGGGCAAGTGCGTGAGGATCCCTGCATGCATGGATATGTGCTTGGTCTGTCTGTCTGTGCGTCTGTCTATTCGTCCGTCCGTCTGGCTGTTTGTCCGCACGTATTCATGCATGTGTGTATATACATAACGTATGTATGTAGCTATGCATTCGTTTTAAATCGTAGCATGTACAAGCATGCGAGGAGCCTGTCTCTGTCTAGCACCCACCTAGGGAGAGAGAGGGAGAGAGAGAGAGAGAGAGATAGAGAGAGATAGAGAGAGAGAGAGAGAGAGAGAGAGAGAGAGAGAAAATGGTAACCATTGCCCTGGCGAAAGAAAAATACATGGGAGAAGAAAACAGACAGAGGGGGAGCGGGCACCTGGAGCACTGACAGATGTCAGTCTTGCACAAAGAGACGTCCCTTTCCAAGAAGAGACGACTTTGCATGACTAGGGGTGGTGAAGGTACGTGCTATGCCGAACCCCCGCTTGACCTGTCCCACTGAAGTGCTAGAACCTGTTGACTTGCATTGTGGTCAGTTTGAGCTGCGAGAATCGAAGCTCAGCAGTTCAATGCTCAGGTCAATCTTGCAATGCCCTTCAGAGGACAGGTAATCCCATGCCATTTGCACCTTCTTTGTAGCTTGGCTTGCTGCGGTTGAGTCTGGCCTGCTGGTTCCGGAGACCAGATTTTAATTTCCACGGCAGGCGAGCTCTGAAGTCGTACTTAAAACTTAAGATCATCCTAGTCAGGTTGTCAGTGGAGCAACGTATCGCTCGTATCCGTGCCCGCGAGTCGAGATCCCAAGATCCCTACAGCTTTGTTTCCAACTCCCTGCAAGACTGTCCCGGGAGGATGCTGGACATGGAGGCTTGCGACGCCTGGACGGAGTGGCCAGGCTGTGCTTTTTGGAAGATCATTCCGGATTGTGTTTCCATCGTTGAGTCGGAGTCGGAAACGAGCTAAGGTATTACCACTGCTCGCAGAACAACTCTTGCCTTCTAGAGGCGACCAACGCTTATGTGGATGTGGCGGCCTTACGCATTCGTGTTCCGTTTCTGGGTCCCAGCCAATTCCGTTGGGTCGTGGTTGCTTCGTAGATGTTCACCGAAGGCCAACGGCACTGCAACTGCCATGCAGCGATCCATTGTGTTGCAGTGGAGGGCCATGAAACGCCAGGGCCCCTGCATTCAGGGCCTAGTGAGTTCGTATTTACTATACCCCATGTGTGATTGAAGTGATTTGTGATTGACGAAGTTTTCTTGTGCAGCCAGAAGACTGAGAAGCTTTTGTGGCACTTCGGGCCATGCTGCAAACAAGGCATCGAATGCTTGCTGGATGCCCTGGAGAACAATAGACAAGCAGATGACCTCAGCAATGCCATCACCGAGTGCAGGCCCCTAAGGGCCTAAACCTTCGCCTGCAATAAGTGCCGGTGGGAATGTTTGGACAGTCCAGAAAAGCCTCTTTGAGCTTGTCGCACAGTCTTGCCCTAAGCTCCGATCTCAAAGCCTGAGTGTCTGAAGGAACAAAGTGCACAGCACGACTTCTTGGGATTTGACTTATCCGTACTACAAGGAGCCTTGGCAATGCGAATTCAGAGGTATCCGCCGATCCCTCTTAGTAGAGCAGCAGCAATTGTAGTAGTGGCAGTAGCCACAGCCGCAGCGCGGCAGTGGTAGTGGTGGTGGTGGGGCGGTGTGAATGATGGTGTTGTGGTGATTGGGAGCTGTGTTAAACCCAGAGCGCCGAAACCCCAAACTCTGGCGCAGTCAATTTCCCCGTGAGATTGTCACGTGACGATGTCAGCAAATTTTGTGGACTGCGCTAAGCAATGTTCCAGAATGTGGCCATTCTTCGTGACGGCTAAATCCCATTAGAAGCGATGAGAGATTTGCTTACTTGAGCAGCCGAACACACGGTTGAAGATATAAATCCTGCATTGCCTTAAGGACCCTAAACTATGGGAATTATGGTATATTATTCCCTATTATGGGTCATGCAGGATTCATATCATCAACCGTACCCTGCAATGCGGGCTTCTTGCTAGGTAGGAGGGAAAAAACTCAGGATGGGAAGCCTGAGATGCCCTCACGGGTCTGTGAGGAGCCTAGCTTTGGGCGGCTCCTCGACTGCAGATTCATGCAGGTGGTGGATAGGGTTTGGGGCAGGGCTCACGTTTTTCAGTAGATTTAGGAAATTCGGGGCTGTGGTTTGGGGTTGGGGTCTCGCAGTGCCGGTTCTCCGTAGGTTTGATTGCGTGTGCAGGACAGACTTGCTCCAACTTCAGAAGTGACATTCGTGGAAGAAGTGCTTCTGCCTGGTACAGACCTTGAAATGTGCAACCACTAGCACACTTCATCATGGTCTGCTCATTCGATAACATTGGCACTAAGATGCCACAATGCCCCTTAAAAGCTGCCTGGCGCCAGCACAGGCCCGGGACCGGATCCTACAAGCGGGATGAGTATGCTACTTGGCCGGGCAGCGGCTGGAGTTTTGCAGGCTAGCCCTTGACATGTCAGCTATGATCTTAAGCTTCGGGCCAAGTTTGAAGAGTTCACATGTGAAGGATCGAATCGCTGGCACGAGCGCGGTGAGCTTCAATATCTTCAACCGAAGTGCTCAGATGACTCAGTCTGAAACCGAGGAGACCTTGCCCACAAAAGCGCCCGCCGATGCGTGCTCTGCAGACTGCTGTACCAGGTGTTGGTACTTTTCCTGTCGCTCGGACGTCCAACTGACATGTCCTTTCGGCAATGCTCACTGACTTTGTTTTGACCCCTCACCCGCTCGTCAGGACTGTCTCAACCCAAGTGTTGCTGGGTGCACCTGAGGCAACAGCACAACCGCACCTTGGATGGCAACAACCTTGCTGTGCCTCTATTCGGCCCACCATAGAACTTCCACTACGTGCCCTTACAGCGAGACCCTGGAGGATTGCTTGGCAGAGAGAGAGAGAGAGAGAGAGAGAGAGAGAGAGAGAGAGAGAGAGAGAGAGAGAGAGAGAGAGAGAGAGAGAGAGAGAGAGAGAGAGAGAGAGGGAGAGAGAGAGAGAGAGAGAGAGAAAGAGAGAGAGAGATGGGGGGCATAGATCTGTCCAGAAAATGGCGTTGAGTTGACTGCATCCGGCTGCTGACTATTTCCACCGTACTAGCATGCTGTGACTAAGAGCAGAGTTTGCCTAGGGCAGAAATGCCCCGAAGTTTTCCTCTTCTGATGAACAGGTTTTAAAGGGCAACGCCAAGCACCTCACAGGCTTCTCGCAAAAGGCGGGCTGCCGAGACTGAAGTGTTCTGATTGCGCCCAAATCCAGACCAACATTTCACGCCCGATCGTGCCTGCTCCGTGCAGGAATGCTGCGTCGCCCCGACCAATCCCGGCTGGAAGTATGCCGCTGGGCACCTTTTCAGCCCCATTCCACAACAGACCTAACTTTGGATTTTGTGGGAGATAGCTTGCACTTGGGACAGTCTTGACAACACGACAAGACTTTGGCCCAATGAGAGGTGGTCAACATTGGTTAACCGCAGCCCAGACAATCAAGTTGAGCACTCCGGGGGCTTGGAGACATGTCAGCCATGGAACGAGCTTCGAGGAAGCATGGCCTGCGGCGAACTGCGACATGGGCTGTGGCCTTGCAGCCGAGTGCCCCTCCTCGCTTCAGCAAGACCGTAAGGTTAAAGACCTTTTATTGCTATCGTTCTTATCACTATCATAAGTCTTGTTGTTCTTAGCACTATGAACATCTGCTCACAAAGACGGGGCAGGATGTCCCCAGTCCATGGAGTTCGAGCTTGTTGGCCTCGGAAGCTGACAGGGGCGGCGGCTAAAGAGTGGAAAAGTTCACGCCTGTTGTGAGGTACGAGACGCGGAAGGTCGAGTGCTGGGACTTCGACAGCGGAGTGAAGCTGGACAGTTTCCCTTCTCTCTTTCGATAAGATGTCAAGTCAAAAAGTCTGCGTCACTGACAACCTCCGCATGTTCTTGATTTGTAGTCAAACGGCGGAGTGGGCAAGTCTGTGCGTGTGTGCACACGCGCAGCCACACCGGAATCCCCTTAGACTTAGATGACACAGTTGCCAGCCCGCTGCTATGGATTCAGAAGGGCCGATGTTAACCTGCCCAAGCTTCGGTAGCCTGCTTATGCTTTGGACATGTGAGACGCCACATTGCTGTAGCCTACATGGTATGCAAAAGTTATAGCACAGAAGTCCACGCCCACCCGGCAAGCCGGCGATGTATCCCGGAGGACGAGAGCATGTGCACGCAGACGAAGCCCGAGACCCTGCGCACAAAATGTGCGGAAACGCCCAAATGCGGTGTCTGCGAGGCCCCGGGGCAGAGGGAGACAGTCGGGTTCCTGGAAGCTTCGTTGGGTCAAGTCCAAAAGGAGAGATTGAGATGTCGGTTCCCCGTGCGCCTGCGCTGCGCTTTTCAGGTGGCTGGGTTTCGGGCGACATGTCGCATGTGAGACCGCGCCTCCGAAGGACACGGACTGCAACAAGGGCTACGTGCTGAAACAACTTGTCCCTGCTTCATGCCAAGGCTGCAGATGGACTGGGAGGGGTCGGATTGGGGCGCAAAATATTTCACCGGCAAAGCAGCAACCCGAGATTCCTCTACAGCTTTCTCCCGTGCCTCCTTTGGATTTTGCACTCAGCCTCCAAGAAGGTATTCCAAGTGGAGGCAGCAGGGGAAGCCAGGCATTCAGTTTCTGAAATGCCTCTGCATGATGCCAGGCGAGAACTGCACCGTGGTAGAATGCTGCAACAAGGCCGAGAGATTGTGCATGCCTTTGGTGGCGATTTGGAGTCGGGTCTTTTCGCGGGGATGGGTATGTCCGGCAAGAATGGACCCCAAAATTCCGAGTGTCTTCATGGGCCGTCCCCTGGGCAGCTTGCACCTGGTGTAGGTGTGTTCTGCTGTCGACTGCCCGGTGGGCACCGCAGTGAAATTCCCGGCTCGCATTTGCGGCTTCTCGGCTGCATGGTCCCGTGGCGGTGGCGTAGTCCAGAAGATGGTTTGCCTGGTTACCCAGTTGCAGGACGTGCGCGTTTAGATGCTCGATGGTTGGAGGATTGATTTAGTGCCACTCTTCGATACTGAGAGGGCCGCGGTGTAATTGCAGCCAAGTGCACCTGCAATGCCATGCTGTATTCCACTACCTTCTCAATCATTCGGAAAATGATTGAAAGGCTTCTGATGAGCCTTCTGCCTGCTGTTTTGCGCCACTAACATTACACCTCACATGCCCACGCTCAATCCGAGATGGCATGACGTGTGCAGAGAGCCTCGGCAGCAAGAGGTATGATCGAAGATCCTGGATAGTCCTGAACCGGAGCTCTTCTGTCAGCGAGGCCTCGAAACGACTTGTAGTAAGACGACTGTACCGGCAGGGATGTGAAAACAAGAACTCACTGCATGTTTGCCAAGATGAGATTGAATCTTCAGAGTGTTGGCCAATGCCATGCATTACGCTTCCAGCAGCTTTAGCCCAACCTCATCTTGCAGTGAATCTGACCCCTGTCGGCCTTCAAGTCGGTCTTCAACGGCACCTCGCGGTGCCTTTGCCCACAATGCAACACCCCAAACCTCACAACCAGCACGTCCAACAACATGCCCGGAGGGAGCCGGCGGTTTCAACATGTTCAGGCCCAAAAGAACCTAAACCCGAGACAGTTGTTAGTTGTCAGCTGAAACTCCAAGACCCTAAAGCCACCAGGATCGCTACAGACCTTGCCAGGCTTTGTCCGAGTGTGAGTGTAAAAAAAACCAAACCCTTGCACCCTGGCCCTGCTCCCTTACACTCTAAACCCCAAAGAAGTGATGCTCAGCCTCCGCTGGCGAGTCCGAGAGTGCGATGTCCAACCCTGAACTTCAACTCTCACTCATCTTACCACCGTAAACCCTAGTCCTACCCCCTAGACGAGCAAAGCTCTACTCCCCTGCAGGGCGGTGTGCTGTGGGCCCACCGAGTGGAAGATGCAGAGTTGGCCCAAGACGCCCAGCTGCTCGAACGAGTGCGGAGAACCGGAGCAGCTCCTCGGTGTCGGACAGCTCGTGGTAATCATGAAAAATAGTGTTTTAGAAGTACATAGTAACTACATAGTTGCCGATATATTAGTATGACTCCTTGCTAGTGATCGCGGTTACTACTATTGTCTCTGATTGCCATTAGCAGCAGCATCATCCAAATCATTGTGGCCGTGCATATCAACATGTAACGGCGATGGTCTTGTTGTCCTCGCCATTATCATCATTGCTATCGTCACCTGGTCAGCCTTCCGTTCCATGTGCTCGCCGCATATGCACCATGCCCGGGTCCTACGTAAAAGCTCTGAACAGAAGATCCTCATGCGCACAGGTGCGAGTGCAAGAGTGTACATCCTAAACAAACCTGGCGAGTGCACCGCTTGGAACAGCCATGGTTACTCCTTGTTCTCTTGTTTTCCGAACGTGCCAGGCATGGTTTCCGTTTTGCCTGATGATGTTCATTGGTCTGTCATTTTTATTCTCGGGTATCTTTACTCAGTTGACAGGTCTTATTGCTGCGACCGCGGTTGTGGTCACGCTGCTGAACGCTAATCGATCGTATGCCTTAGTTCTATTGAACCGATTGCTTCTAATTCAACACACACTTTTACCACAACTACGACGACAACTACGGCTGCGACGATGCACGACTTCCATCTCCAGCATGATTATTGCTACTCTTTTTCGTCTTGTTGCTGGTTTTGTCGTTGTTGAAGTCTTGCCAGTTTCGCGAAATCAGTTTCAGCACATTAACCTTATGACGATCTCATGGGAGCATATGGGGGCATTCTCGCATCGCATGTCCTCTTTCACTCAGGATCGTGAATCGGAGCGTGACATGCGAGGCAGGGCAGAAAGACAACCCTAGCCGGAACACTGCAAAACACCTTCACTAGGGGCCCTGCTCAGCGAAGGCTTATCAGAGCTAACCCCACTCCTGTGGAGAGGAACGATGGCCTGAAGCATCGGTTAAGCGTGTGGCCGTAGCTTCAAATCCTAGTGTGCTGGTTGAAAGCAGATCTTCGGCACATGCCCAGCAAGTCCATTTGAATCTGGTCTTCCCGACTGCTAGCTTGAACCCCCTGAACCACCAAGGCTACTTCAGATCCGAACGTTTCCTAAGCCGTAACCAGGTAGCAAAGCAACTGTGCCTCCTGATAGTAGAGCCCGCTCTGTCGTGCCCCTGCGTAGCGAGACCTTCGAGGATGGCACAGCAGAGAGAGACAGAACCAGGTGGATTTGAATTCCTGCTGCGTAGCGAGGTTTATGACATGCCGGTAAAGAAAAACCCCGAGACGCTAACGCCAAGGCGCACCCCCTACCCCACACCGCCCCCAAACACTGAACCCGAAACCGTAAGCCCTAACTCCGTGCTGTGCTTTTTGGTTCTATCCGCAGAAGTTGAGCCGCGGACCCCACTTTCAAAGTCAATATCTTGCGCAGCCCTATCAGGGTTTGGGTTTAAATTCGCCAGGCAGCAAAGCCGGACTGAAGTAAAGGGTTTAAACTCGAAGCCCCCGAAATCACTGAACCTCAAAACCTCCAAACCCCCTAAGCCCCAAACGCCCTAAACCCTCAAATCCTGAACCCCGAGACCCCGAAACCCCTTGAACCACGAACCCGAAACCCGAACCACATGCCTCGCGTGGTCCGTCCGAGTGCGAGCGCCGAACCCCTAAACCCCCAAACCCCGAACCCTGAACACCCGGAAGGATTCTGCCGGCCACGTCGTGGAGGACGGCCTCTGTGCCGGGAAGAAGCCAGCAAGCAGCAAGGTCCGGGCACTTGGGAAATTGGTGTCGGATCCTTCCGTCTAGTGTTTGGGATACAGGGTGTGGGTCCTGGGTTTTGGCTTAGGGTTCTGAGCGTAGGGTTCGATGACGCCGGTGGCCCAACCTTGCTCTGGACCTTTACCCCGCGATCCCAGCTGCACCATGGCCAACATATCTGAAACTTAAACACTTGCATCGGTCACATCGGCGGGCGTTTATGGGCACTGCATGGCCAGAGAGTTTGCAAACCCAGCCTGCCAGGTGTAAGCTGTGTGTACACCTGAGCATTCCATCTAAGGGGGCTATGGCGACATGATGAATCCAGAAATGATTGCTTGATATTGCTTGAATTTATCATGGCCGAACCCCTGCAGACACGCTCTCCTCGACAACACTTTGCCCAAGAAGGTAAAGGCAACTAGAATCGTTGTAGCGTTCTCAGAATATGTGATTCTTGAAGCCTTGCTCGACAATGGCATACTTTAATCGTTCGTCTGCCGTCGGACCCTGGTTCTACCACCTCTTCTTACATGAGTTCTCAATGCTCTGCCTACGGCGCTGCCAACTCGAGGTCGCCTGTGCTGCCACGCCGGTTTGCCCTGAGTGGATCTACAGCCCGTGGTGCCTTGGTCAAAGCCGGAGCAACTCTCCCCATCCCCCCCCGGTAGGGCCACGCGTCATTCATGGAAAGTGCCTGTGCCCAAGGGACAACAAGACATGGGACTGCTCCGAGCGTGATTGTGGTCAAGGCGGCGTGGCTGATCCGGGATGGCAATGATGTTGATCAACATAACACGTGGTACATACCCAGTAGTACTAGTTGTGCGAAGATTGTGTTCTTGATTATTGGGTCGCGTTTACCTCCAGTCATGCCAGATCAAAGGTAAACCCTGCTCGGAAGACAACCCAGTTTCCAAGTCTGAGCCTCAAAAACCGAGGCAATCACATCATCAGAACGCCAGTCTCAAGGCCTTTCGATACTTTCGAATCCTGCTGACCTGGACCCTGAACAGCGGACGTCCTTGTGCTGTTTTTTGGATGAGTGCCCTCATCTTTGGAGATCATAACTTGACATGAGGCGGAATATGTACGACAAGCGTTCGTGAAACCCTAGAACGCTTTACACAACTAAAATTTCCGCACGGCTTGAGAAGCAGAGGCCAGTTGACCCAAGAGCGGCCGGTGAACTGCACCAACCCCAAGACCTTGGAAGTTGTCGCAGACGATCTCTGCAAAGGCGGGTTGGGAGGAAGAGCAGAAGGTTGGCTTTTGAGGGTTGGGATTCCGCAGGCTGTGCAGACATTCCTAGCGGTCTAGAGACTTCGTGCGAGGGCAAGGTGCGACGCCGAAAGGCGTTTTTCTATGTTTCTCTCATGGTATTTAGGCTTTCAGCCGTGGCTCAGCCCGACTCGCTGATACCCACATTATGCAGATAGCTGGCCGCCCCAGCCACTGCCGAACAGCCCTTGAAAAGCAGGCCCGAAGCCGGAGACGAGTCGCATTCTATGCCCGGCGACCCCGCTCTGTGCTACTGAGATCGCACCAGTGTGACGCTTTGCAGCCAGGCATCACAAAGTCACAAAGTTGATGGTTGGGGTGGAATTCGTCGAGTCCACCATGTGGCATGCCACAACTACCTGCATTTTCCTGGTGCAGAACATGTGCTTCCTAGTTTCTGCTCTGCTGCCTCAGGTCACGACAAGCACAACGAGCACGAGCACAAGCACCACAACTTCAACGACCGTCACTTCAACGACCACAAGCACAGTCACAACCACGACCAGCACCAGCACTACTACCTTGGTCACCTGCGATGTTGTGACGTGCCCGAAAGGCGGGAATTGCTAAGGTTTGCTGTCCAAATAGAAGAGCCGCCACTAGGGTGGGTCAGGGGAATTGGAAAGTCCGTTGCAGGAAGTGTGCCCAAGCCGCTGGTCAACCGGACCGCTGAGTGTGACGGAGGAGTTTGCGAGGCAAGCAACTTGTATTCGATCCTGACAGCACTTGTCAGGGTACAGCAGCATAGTTGGAGTTGAGTGTGTGGGAATGCCGTAAGCAGGCCGAAGATTGCTGTGACTTGGCGTCGTGGGTGTACAAGAGCTGGGACGAGACAAAGGACTGCTTCAAGAGTCAATACAGATCCGTGGCAGTCGGTGGCGGCAAGTGTCGCACTTGCCTGTTGCGAGAGTGCAGGAGTGTGGCCACACCTGTGGCTTGAAATCAATCGTGGAGTCCCGATCAGTGACATGCCAGGTGGGACAAGTGCAGGAATGTGAACAGGGAAAGGATTGAAACTCTGTAATCGAGAAGTTGCGATACGATCACGCATTCACAATGCAGGTCAAAGCCACCGGAGAGGACGTGCTTCCTGACTGCGGTTTGTTGTTCTTGGCTTGGGGACCAGGGGCCACGAAAGAAGAGAACGAGACTAGAAGTATGGGCCAGTATGGGCGTATGGTTCGTGAGTCGGAATTTCCGTTCAGATTTACATAGACCTCCTCGAGTCCAAACCCGGCCGAGGAGTCGGGCCACCTGCCAGCAAGAAGAGCCTGCCTCCAAACGCGTGCTCTGTGAAGCCACGGCAGCCTGCGACGGTTGCGGCAGTTTCTTGCCTGCAAAAAGATGTGTCAGCGCATGGTGTGTTGGCTTCTTGCTACGGCATCGGCCATGGGGTGAAGCTGTTTACAATCTTTGCGCTGTGGGAGCGCCTAGGCATCTGGTGTGGCGGAGATTCGGTGCCCTTGACTGACCCTCCAGATTGTGGGAGCTCTTGCACACGAAGCTTGGCCTGCCGGAGTTTGCTTGACTTGTTGAGGTTATGCTTGAGGATGCGTAAAATTTCGGCAGTGACTTTGAGCGGTTGATTAGGGGGAGACCTCAGTCAGTGGGCGAATTCTGCAATTCTGCGTGCGTTGTGGACTCCACGAGTCTCTGGGAGTCCTATGTGCCCTAGGCCGGTTCAGTTGCAAGTTAATCAGCTGCTGCCGAGTTCTGACCGCTTTCTCTTTGGTCTACCACATGCTAAGGAGAACTTTGCTGCAAGAAGTGGCTTGCATGATCTGGCGAGTTTACGCCGTTTACGCATATCAGGGGTCGATGCGAATACGAAGCGGGATTAGAAGCGGGAGCATCGAGTGGACAAGCAGGATGCAACAGTCTGAAGTGATAAATGCATGCCAACGGCACAAAACCAGCGTATTAAGTCTAGTTTGTGGTATAGTAACCTATATAGTGTTATGTTATACCATATCATATCGTTGTCCATTATATTGTATGCTACAAATACTCAACTTTAAATACCTAGGATATGCTATAGTACCATACTATATGATATTACATGAGATGATAATATCACAGATTAGTTATGCGACGTACTACAGAATAGTATAATACATGTTTTTATTATGTCGTACTTAAAATGCAAGGACAGCAGCAGCAAGGGCCACGTGAGCCAAGGTTCGCTGCAGGCTTCCAGGCTACCGATGTGCAAGAGAACGCGTCGGCCGTGCAGAACTCTGTGCAGGCTGCGTGGGTCAGGTTTTCTACTGTGGACAGTGCTTCTGTTTCACTACTAGTCGTTGCCAGTTGTCCAGGTGCTGCTATTGCTGGTAATTGTTGTGTCTTTACCCGGACTATGACTATGAGTGTGCTAGTACTCGTGCAAGTGCATTTCGGAACAGCGCGAGCAGCTGCTATTGTCATAGTCGCAGCGGTGCTTTCACCACTACCACCATTACCACCACTACCACCACTACCACCCCTATCGCCACTACCACCACTACCACCACTACCACCACTACCACCCCTATCGCCACTACCACCACTACCACCACTACTGCCACCACTGCCACTACTGCCACTACTACAACGACTACCACGACTACCACTATTACCACTACTACTATTACTACCACTACCTCTGTAGCTACTACCAACTACCACGACCACTAGCAATATCACGTGAGACGAGTTCTACAAATACTAGTTTACCATGTGAGTGCTGCTACTACAGCGACTGCCACCGACCACCAGTAAGACCACTGCTACACCGAGCACGACTGTTGCTTACTATGTCGACTGCGACTGACCTTCTGCTTCTTCTGCGTCTGCGTGCTGCTCGTCCCGCAGCTATTGCTGTACCAGCCTGATGAGACTACGACTGCTGCTGCTACTACCACCACTTCTCCGAGCCGGTCCTCTGTGGGTGGTGCTGTACCGTTGCTGCTCTCATTGGGCGCCGACAACAACTCCTGCGGTCTGCTGCGGCAAGCATGTGGGAGTCCCGAAAATCAGGGGTACCTTGTTTTGAGATCCTCATAATGAGGATCCTAGTATCTAGGGTACTATATTAGGTCCCCTCTTCTCGGAAACTCCCATGTCTGTCGTGAGAGTCACGTTTTCGTTTACTGCAGCGGCTCTTAGTGCTGCTGGTGCTGTCCTACCGCGAAATGGTAATTTTTTTCTTGCAGCAAGCTCTCCCAAGCCGACACCAAGTGTTGTCATATCGTCAAAACGCAGGGCATAGTCAGCAGATCTGACAGAAACCAGTCGGACATTATAGATGAGAAGGCCTACGGCAGGGGTACCACTGATGGAGCTCATAAATGAGCCAGACGCAAAAATCTACCAGAATCAGACTCTACCCACATTGAAGCGAAGCTGCCAGTCGCCCAGTGCCAGTTGACGCCAGGTGGCAAACCAAGGTTCCTCTGGTGGATCGGTGAAGTTCGATGGCGAGGCGGCCACCCCCGCCGAGGGCGGTGTCTCGGCATAGATAAAGCAGTCAATCTCGACAAGATGGGGTTTGCGGATCGGGAGCGGTGCTTCTTGCCAGGCAAAGCTTACTACCTGGGTGGCAAAACGGGGCTTCCGCTGGGTGGAACCAAGTCAACGGAATTTACGGCCTCTTGTCTTGAAGACGGAGCCTCGCGTGGAGTGTTCATCCATCCATTTCGTCAGACACCTCAATGCCTTCAGATGCCTTCACGCTTGCAAGGCTGTGATTTACATCAAACTCCTCGGGAGCGACAACTCAGAAGAAGAAACAGTGATGCTAAAGGAAGGCCAGGGTCCATATGAGCACGTCGAGCATGGGGAATTGCAATGCTGCCCGGTTTGCAGGTTGCCCGGGCTGCAGCTTTAGGCCTAAACTTTAGGCATTTCAGCAGGCGGAGTGATGTTAAAGATTGCTGGAGCCCTCTGGACATGCATGTGATCTGCATGGTTCCACGCGATGAAGGCGGGCCAGATGACTTCGGCGCATGGGAACTCACCGCCACGCCGCTGAAGCAGCTCCGAGTCCGATCCTTTAAGGACTGCGATTGCGTTTTTTGTCCGTGGTGTTCCGGCTGCTTCACTTTAACAGGTATGAGAAACTTAGTCTATCTTAGTCCTATGTGACGCGCCTCAACTATTGACCGTAGTTCCGTGTGTTTCCGCTGCAGGATTCCAAATCGCAAGCGGCTATCGGGTGCCTGTGCTTGTCTTCCTATGCGGATGAATGGGCAGCAGTTGCAGCAGCCTGGCAGTGTCTGGAGGGCTCACTGCGAACTCAACGACCATGCTAGACTGAATGCTTGAAGAGCCAGCGTCTTAGCAAAGGTGCGCTATGATGGCAAAGGCGAGAAGATCGAGCTGGTGGTGAACGGCAAAGTTTGCTGCGAGGCTACCGCCGTCTCAGAATCTAAGCTCCATCTATGTTGACGATGTGAATCCGGGCAATAATGCAGCTCACTTCCTCTTGTCCGAGAACTTGCCGTGCAAAGTTCTTAGGCGACTTGTCGGCCACAGCTGTGAAGTCATGATGCCACTCAGGATCCCTCATGGGCGGATGTGGCTCTACGCAATAGTGTCTTGGCAGGTGGTGTCATGTGGTGTCTCGATCTTGCTGGAGAGCCATGCCGTGGCTCTTGCTAGTTTTGTGCCAGAGTTCTACACATGCCTTGCTTTCTCGGGGCACCAGCACCACGGTCATCGTCATCGTCATAGTTTTGCTGAAACCACGCGGAGCGCCGTGTAGGCTCCGAATCGCCATCTTAAACGACGAGTATCAGGCTGTATCAGGCAATTGCTCGCAGTGATCTTCGGAATCGTCGCAATGAGTTGGCAAAATCGTCGCCATCGCCCCGCGTAGGTTCGTCCCAGCCAGGGAGGCAAAAAGCAATGGCGACCCAGACCTCCGCCAGTCCAACCATCGGGTCACCCGCCTAGGAGCCCATACTTTCTCTCTTCTAACGTTGACGCTGCTAAGTTTAATTCGGCGTGCTCTTGTTGTTTGAGCTCTGCGACTGGAATCGCCTGTGTCATCTTGAAAACAATCGTCGCACTTGCGTGACAGGTGTGGGGATGCTGATGTTTCTGCTGCTTCAAGCTAGTGCTGCAGGTGCTAGTGCGTTTACGAGCACAAGCACCAGTCCACACCAGCACCAGTACTAGTACTACTACTGCTGCTGCTGCTGCTACAACAACTACTACAACTCTACAAAGCTCCGAGGCAGTGCTCCCGTGCATTTGGGACTCGTTCCCGGTCACCGGCGGCCTGGCGTGGTCGGGGAGGTCTCCGCGGCATCTCGGACTGTCCGAGAATTCACACAATTTGGAGACTCAGTGGGTTTCATTTGGGTTTGAGTTTTTTCAATGAACCTTAAGGTTTCACTGTGGCGGATTATCAAGACAAAGTGTTTTGTTCTTGTGGCAGTCCATTCCACCGACCAGGTAGACAAGCCTGCATGCGTGCGTGCGCAAAGAGTATACATACCTACATTGACAAGCATCTCCCGACGAGCATGCAGTTCTGCACCCGAGAAGAGTGCGCAGCTGAGGTCCAGATCTGGGACGGTGTCCAGGGCTCAAAGTGAAGTGCAGTTCTTGGGCGTCGGCACGCACATGGTGTTGCTCATCAGTGCAAGTGGAGACAGCATGTAGCAGCTTCCCTGGGGCTTTGCTTTGATGTCCGAGGCGCTGACTGACGCAGACATCGATCACATCGTGGCTCAGTTCTCCGAGGCTCCTCATCGTGGCAGAAGGGCGTGAACTGCGGCCAAATTGATGTTCCAAGCATCGAAATTCGATTCCAAGCGATCCTTTTGTTAATGAGGACTTTGCCGACTCCTGATGAGCGTGAGGCTTCAGCGTGGACAGAGCCGCAGGGCCTGTGGTGCATGCTTGACATCCTCTCCACGCGGGCAGGCCTCGTCGAGTGGAGGAAGTAGAGACTCTTGTCGTTGCTTCTGCCGGTTCGTCATTAAGAACGATAGTGCCGACGATTGCAAGGCTAGTGCATGGTCCTAAAACTTTTGTCGCGTTTCTGCGGAGGGTCTGCTTCTGGCATTGACAAGTGGTTGTTATTTCCAGAGACTGCTCAGATTCAAGCTGCGATTTGACCTCTCGGAAGGCGTGGCGAGCCTGGCAGCCTGCCGGGCCCTTTGCACTGAAGACAAGCACTGCAAGTCGGCTCAGCCCGGCGCCCAGGAGCCCTGCACTCCCTCCGGATTCTTTGCGGTTGCGCCTGCTTTCCAGTCCCGCCCAAATGAAGATAATCAATAGGCTTTACCCAATAATGTCTCGACATCATGGCATTCATCAAGTCCAGATGTAAATAGTATACAAGAAAGCAGCTTCTGGCAAGGTATCGGTCCGACGGGACCTGCGTGCTGCGCAGCAAGGAGGCTTGCACCAGGTCGGAGGGCTGTGCGCCGGAGCCTCGAGTCGATATGGGAGTTTCCGAAAATTAGGGGTACCTTATTCTGGGATCCTTATTATAGGGATCCTACTATTTAAGGGTACTATATTAGGGTCCCCTATTTTCGGAAACTCCCATATCTGCAGGTCATGCCTGGTTCCTGCTGCTCAGGGTAGGGGGTTATCGGTAAGCAGAGGCTGCCCATTTCTCTGTAATCAGGCTGTATTGAGTCGTATACTAGGCTGAAGCGAGTGTTGTATTGCGCACGTCCCGCGAGAAAGAAGCTCAGTGTAAGCGTCTGAAGTCTAAAGAAGATCACAATCGACAGGCCCCATGGTTGCATTGCCCCCCATGGAAAGTACCCTTCCAGCTCTTCTCATGGATCATGTTGCGAATCGACGCCGAGTTGCGATGAATACTCCGACAGCCTCGCTTCGAATCACTGCCCCAGCGGCTCCTGTGCTCGATTTGTTCATTGCTCCAGGTATTCCGCGATGTTGCAGCGAAGGTAAGGCTTTCATATGTCAACGGCTCGATGTCTAAGGAGACGTGGTGGCCCCGGTCACAGGGCAGCCGAAGAAGCTCGCCCACTACCCCACGACCTGCACGGGTGGCTCAAAGAAGCCCTGGTGGAAGCAGCCAAATGCCACGTTGCAACCCAACTCTGCGGCCACGAGCACCACCACATTCACCACCACCAGCACCACGACGACAGTGTCGGTCCATCGTGCATCTTGCGCTGACCTCACTTGCCCACCAGGCGATGTCTTTGGGAGCAACGCTGCTAGCTGCTCGAGCTAGAGGGTTGAAGTCGCTGAAGCAGGAACTTCGGCTCATTTGTTTGTTCCTGGGCGCGTCCGCCTGTGTTTGGGGTTTAGAGGCCAGAGCTTGCAAGCCGCAGAATCACAGCCTACAAGCAGCACATGGACGGGCACATTGAGGGTTAACTAACTTTGCTGCTAGAATGGTAGGTCGGTAAGGAGGTAGGCAGACAGGCAAGTTGTCCAAAATGGGAGGCTATGTGGCCAAGATCGTCGGCAAAGCCCAGCTGTGCAAGGACGCCCGGTGCGAGGCAGGACCTTTTCTGCACACTGGGTTTCCTCGTGACCCTGCAGATTTGCTGAGCCCTAATCCCGAAAACCCTGGCCTTCCATGTTCCTTCCTTGTTCGGGTTCTCGGAGACACACCCGACAAAACTACTTTCTGAGGATTCAGAACCCCCCTTGTTGCCCGCTCACAGCCGACCAGCCACACCTCAACTAAGATCTGGTGCGGCGCCGTTTGAAGCAGCAGTAACTGTTGCAGTAAATCTGGGCCTAGGTCGACGAGTGCTGCGACACAGCCTCTTGGATCTCCATCAGCTGGGACGAGACGAAGGAGCTGGTTCATGCACGGAGGTTTGGTGTTGCAGATTCCCCACTGGCTCTCGCCTTTCGTATCTCTTTGTCTCTCTCTCTCTCTCTCACACACTCTCTCTCTCTCTCTCTCTCTCTCTCTCTCCATCCCCTTCTCTGACGTACATGCAGAGACACATATGTACGTGTCAGAGAATGGTGCAGCGGTGCGAGATCCGGGAAGTAAGAGCACAAACTCATGATATGGCTCAGAAGATCTTTGTCATGGAGTTTGATGCGAAGATATACGTTTGGGGTTTTGTGGCAGCATGTCGACTAGGATTTCATACTAACAAAATGGCAACAGTTGTGGTAAGTAGTATCATTGAAAGGACAACAACAATTATAGTAGTTACAATCGTAATACTAACAATTGCACTAGCTAGAAAAAGAAGACTAGTACAATCTAATACAAAGAGCAGATGCAGAGCCGACGCGCAGGAGTGCGACCCCAGCTGTGGCTTGGACGAGGTCACACAGACCCGGTCTGTGACCTGCCAGGCCTTTGATCACCAACATATGAACTATGCATGCATATGTATATATATATATATATATATATATGTATATATATATATATATACATACATATAATACATACATATAATACATATATAGAGACGGTGTGTATATATATATATACACATATTTATACATGTATATGCATATGGACTATAAGTGTTTCCACATAGCATGTAGGTATACATCGTGGTTGTATTCACATACATGTATATATATATATATATACATATGTATATATATATATATATATGTATGTAATATCATACAATATATGCATATGCGTATGCGTATACCATCAGATGTATATGCATATGTGTCACATGCATATGCATACACACGCACATACATATGGACCTACATACATTCGCACGCACACACACACACACAAACACACACAAACACACACACACACACATACATACATACATACATACATACATACATACATACATACACACATACACATACACACATGCATACATACATGCACGCATGCGCATATATCTATCTCCCTGTCTGTCTGTCTTTCTGTCCATCTATCTATCTATCTGTATATGCAGAGTTCCCACCTCGCCTCCGAGCCCAATGCAGGTGCCTTCTACAGGCAAGGTGGTGCCTCCTGGCTGCCCTAATGGATCGGGCTCTGGACTTTGAATGTCGGATATTCTCTATCTTCAGCCTGATGCGATGAGGGTGGCCGGGAACTCGTCATCTCCGGGGCAATTCTCTAGAAGTCATGTGCATGCCCGGAAACCTGTGTCTGTGTTCGAGCCCAAGGCATGAAACGTGCACTCCTGTGACCACTTAAGGGCCGAAGACACCTGCCAAAAGAGCTCCCGGCCTGCTTCGGAGCGGCTGCTGTGCCCGTTCACTGAAGTCTGTGAGAACTGCGGCGGAGCCTTGGGACGAACAAGGGGAAAGGGTCGAGGATTCAAGCGCGGCAGCAGCTGCGAGCTGTGAAGCATTGGGTGCTGGGAAACTGCAGTGGGGAACTCAGGGGAATGCCAAGGGCTTAGCATTGCTGCTTGTCTCAGTGTCGGGCCGGTGCACACGGGTGAGTGAGGCCGCATCCGGCGCACCATGTGAGCTAGCCACCAAAGCCAATTACAGCTGCATGCGCCCAACCCACGCAAGTGATAGAAGCCAGTTCGAAACTGCAACATGTATGTTAGTTTTGAGATCTCGGTCGAACTTGGCCGAACCTACTGACTTTCCGGGCCCCCCACGTGTGTGTTGGTGCTGCAAATGTTGTATTGGTAGAATGTAGATTGAACTGCAGGCCTCGACGAAATGCGGTCACACCTTGTGCAAGTTTTCGCACGTCCGGTCTTTTCTCGAGGCTAGTTCATGGAGTCGGTAACGCAGCCGAGAGAAGTGTTGAATCCAGTCGCCCGAGTCATCCAGCTCGTTGAGAATGCATGGCTTAATCAGACACAGAATGAGCGCTGCAGGTCCTGGCCCTGGGTGGGAAGGTGGGCTCGTGGGTGTGGGAGTCAGTCGCAAACGCAAGAAGGTACACAATGCTGAAGCACGAAGCCCCTCACTTCACCCAGGTATCCAATGCGCAGCCGATGAGGTTCCTGTGGCGAATCCTCCCAGCTGTGGCGGCTCCTGCACAAGACGCTTGGAAAGGTTGATGCCAGAGCTCCGATGCTTTGACAGCGCACGCTATGATGTCCCCGTGTCAAGAAGGCACGTGAGGCTCGTGAGGGCTGTGGCATGCTTGGAGCGCAGTTTTCTGAAACACAAGGACAGAAGTGCTGCAAGAAGATTCTTGGATGATTTTGTTAAGTTTAGTGCTTGGATTTACCTAGTGCACAATTTGATGCCTGGCAATGTTTTACCAGTGTCGGTAGCATGTCAGCGAACAGGAACATGTGTGGAGCCGCTTGAATATGCGGAGGCTGTGCAAATGACCTGAACATTGTAACACCGATGGCTATTGCTCGCAGTTGGTAGCATGTGGTCTACTCCAAGACACGGCTTTCAAGCATTTTCTGGGTCACCGGATTGTCATTGGGAGCGCACTTGTTTCCGTGCCCAACAATCGCGACTCCGAGAATCTTAGCTGAGGCCTACGACGGGCGTCCAAGCTGTAGATGTGCCTTCCAACTTCACTTCGGCTGGGGCCTTGGTGTGTTGAGGCCACTTGAGACAACGGGCCCGGGTATAGTCCCCGAACATTGCAAAAGGGCATGCTCAGGGCTGGGGCTGCTCCTGGGAAATGTAGGCAGCTGAGTCGATGGTTTGGGTACTTGAGGCCTTGGCCAGGTGCCGAAGTTGAACTTCCTTCTTGAAGTGTCTGCGTTGAGGTAATTCGCCACGACGAAGTGTCTAACCCGTATAGTGAGTACTATACCCCAAAGCCCTATTGAAATTACTAGGGCCCCTACATTATGCACTAATCGCCAAGCCAAGCTTACAACGCCTTCAACGGTCAGATTTAACATGCAGAGTTGAGGGGCTGGGGCCGGTTAGCGGTTTCTTCGGTGTTGAAGAGTTTTAGGGCTTCGGGTTGCTCTGAGTTTCGCGGTGGTCAGGCCAGGTGCCGTTCGACCGTGGGCGAATTCTGCAGAAAAGGGTTTAGGGGTGTACGCTCTTTTCAAGGTGTCCAACCAGGGCTCCTCCGAGAAGCCCATGAAGTTCGACGGCGCAGCCGAGGCTGTGGAGCAGGGCGACTAGGCAAGGATGATTTTGGACTATTTTGTATTGTAAGTTATATAGTGTATGATGTATTGTGCAGTATATCGTCATAAACTGTATATAAAATATCGTATAGTATTTCGGACATATCCGGCCTTTTTTCCACATCTTACGAAAAAGATCCTAGTCTTAGGGATGTGTTTGAGTTTCTTCTTCACTCTTCTGTCTCCTAGCTGCAGTGAAATCCACCCCGAAGACCATGGAACCCAATGCTGATAACACACACACACAAACATAGCACAAGCAGTAATGTAGCAAGACGAAAAAGAGAGAAGACATCCGGCATTTCTGGCGATGGACGGCAGCTGCACCTCCTTCTAAGCCCTACAACCTCTTCAAGCCCCATGGCTCGTAAAAGCCCTATGTGCCGGTAAACTCGAACCTCGAGAGTGAGCGAGAGAGAGCCGGGGAAACAGGAGAAAAGCCGCTTTCACCAGACCAAACCGCTGGTTTTTGGTGACCTGTGCCTGCGTGATTAGTTGTACTAGCTTCGGCAGACAGACCCTCATGGAGACTCTTCGTTGCACTTTCAAGAGAATTCAGGCCGTATGGTGTGTTTGATGGGCTTGGGTGCGGCGGTTTAAACCCTAAACCCTAAACCCTGAACCCTAAACCCTAACCCTAAACCGTGTTTAAAGGTAGCTTGTCATGTAGTCGTGAAGCTTTGCCTGCCTCGAGCGGGCGCGAGAACGAAACCGTATAGGCCCTGAGCCTTGGAGCTGAAGTCCTAAAAGAATCCGATACTAGTAGTAATAACAATAATAGTAACAATAATAGTAATAATAATAATAGTAATAACAATAATAATGATAATAATAATAATAATAGTAATAACAATAATAATAATAATAATCGTCGGGGATCATCCGATGAAAATGGAACGATGCAGAGATGATTTGCATGCCCCCTGCGCAAGGATGACACAAGCCAATCGAGAAGGGTAGCAAGTAAACCCCAGAGGTACAAGTATCTTCCCCTTGAACCTTCAACCCCTAAGCTTGATGCCATAAACCCTAGAGACAGCAGACTCTAAGCCCTTCCCGAGGACACGCCTATCGCTTGAAGGGCAGCTCTGGCTTGTCCCTCGGATCGCCGCTGTCCACCGAGTTCACCGCCGCTTGCCTTTGAAACTGTGAAAGCTGGCAGCACAGAGTAGTGTATGGTAGACTAGAGTAGGGTGTGCAGAGTGGAGTAGTGGTGTGGAGGTAGAGATTGCAAAGCATACTGTAGAGCAAGGTGGTTTGCGTTTGGTTTGGAGTCATTGATGACAGGGACCCTGCTGCCCACGACTGTCATGTAGGGGCCTAAAAATAAGTTATCCCCCATCCTAAGCATACTGGCCTCTATGTGGAAAGCCAGCTCTGGCTTCGGAGGCACTTGCATACTTGAAGCTCACTGGGGGTGACGATGCCGACGAAGCGACCGTGATGCTCAAAGAAGGACAGACCTGCCAGCAAGTCTTGTTCTATCTATTCTGTTCACATACATGTATCCGTGCATGCATGCGGACACGCACACATGTATACACACATATATATATATATATACACATATACACATGTCTTTAGAGTGTTCCACGGTTTCTAGCCTACTAGAATCCTTCTCGTGGTATCGAAGGCATCCGTACCATGCAACCCGCCATCGAACATCGCTTTTGGTCACATTTCTTGTGGCAGCTCTTGCAAGATGTGAGTGCTCAGTATGCAATTGCTGAAGGCGGCCCTGACGACCACGGCGCCTGGGAGCTTGTGGCTACCTCGCTTCAGCAGTTCCGGCTGCGATCCTTCAGGGACCTAAGCTGCCAGCCGCTTTGTGCGTACATCGCGCTCCTCGTAGTGTTTCCATCCTCGGCTGTCTACCGCAGGACCCGAAGTCCCAGACCTTCATCGGATGCCTTTGCCTCTCCTCCTATGCGGATGAATGGGCATCGGTAGCAGCCACTTCGGTGCAGCTAGGGTTGAAGCCCAGTAGACCGAACTTGGGCGCTGGGACCTCTGCAAAACGCAAGATCAGAACATCGGAGAGCAAAGGTGCGATACGATGGCAAGGGTGAGAAGCTGGATCTTGTGGTCAATGGCAAGGTCTGCTGCCAGGCAGAAAAAAGCACGGATTCTGGGCAGAATGCTAGTGAGAGCATCTTTTTGTTCAAGGCTTTGCATGCCGCTTCTGTCAGCTAACGAATAACGTAGCTTTGTTCTGTCGTACCTATATAGGCGATTATATCGGCGCGGGTGCTTGTTCCACAAAAGCGCACCTGCAATGCATCGCTGAGGAGCCTTCCTGGTCCGATGCTGCACTTAGGCAGCGCAGCTTGGCAGCGTTGATTTTAGCCCACAGATCAAAAGGCATGCGGTCCGTGTGGAATGGCCGTCCGTTGCCCCATCCTCTGCGGATAGCAGCATAGCCAGCAGTAGGTATCTGCACAGTTCCTAGCAGTGGACGCCGACGCCGTGGCTCAATTGTTGCTTGCTTGTGCTCGCTTCTGCTGCCGGTCCTCTAACTACTTATGCGACTACGACGGCTACTACGACGACTACGACTACTACGACTACTACGACTACTACCACTACTACTGCCACTACTGCCCTCTTGCATGAAGATTCCCCTGACTCCGCAAGGTACACCGGTGCATCTGGGCCTGGTTCCGGGCTCCGTGCGACCCGGAGCTGCTGCAGAGGTCCACGCAGTGCCGTGGCAGGAGGTGAAGACGGGCTTGGAAGTTAGGTTCGAGGTCGAGTGATTCAAGACAGGGGTAGCCGGAGCTGTCAGGGGTCTCGATACTTGCGTTTTGCGCTTTTGCACCTGCTGAAAATCCGATCCAAGCACACAAGCAATCGCTTCCAAGGTGCAACTCTGGGAGAGTGTCCCTTGCTACCGCAAAGCTGCATTGCCATCACCTTCTTTTGACTGTAACCCTTTTTTGGCTTTGATCTGTGTGTAGAAAGAATCAGGTCTCCAGTCAGGTCAGATGTTAGGAAGCTGTTGGCCGGGTGCGCAGGTTCGCATTGAATGCAAGCGTGATGCAGATTCGGTCAAGTTTGCATTGGCTGAAGACTCATGGGCATGCAGTGAGGCACTGACTGATGCGGACCTGGACCACCTGGTGGCTCATTTCTCCCACGTGCCTGGCCTGTACTTTGGCCTTTCCACCCTTCATTCCCATGCAATGCCTCTTGCACGAGCTCTGGCTCTATCATTTTCGGGGCTGGCTGGCAATCTGCACGGAATGTCATAGGCCCTGCGCGACAAGGGGGCATCACGCTTGAACATGCGAGGTGATGGCATGGTCTTTGGCTGCGGAGCTGCGGTGTGCCGATGACATCATCTCCAGCGAAAGAGGCCGTGCAGAGCGATCGATCCGAAATTCCCTCACCAAATCTCAGAACGTATGCAACATCCCCCAACGCTGGTGGGAAGTTGCTCATGCTTGCACGGTGATAGATTCAGAAATAGCTGCAGGCCGGAAAACCTTTGCATCAACGGAAAGCCAATTATATATGTATACGTGTATCTACATACATGATATGTACATATATATATATATATATATCCCAGTCTTCCGGGCACCGAACTTCCTGCACTTCTCAAGGCATCACAAGCCTGGCGGCGTGCAGGGCTCTCTG